GACTACGACTACGAAAACGACGACGATGATCACTACCAGCACCACCACCATCACCACCGCCACCACCACTACCACTGCTGCCACGGTTGTTACAAGTACTATAAGTTGTGCGTCTACTTTTAGCTACAGTACTTGTACTACTACTTGCTTGTGCAAGTCCATCAATGCAAAGTGCCATGATCATACATACCATCATACCGGATAGAAAGACATTGTCGAAAGCGTGTTGTGCTTTTTACTGTTGCACGATCTTGGCCTCCGAGATGCCACTGCGCTCAATCCGCAACTCTACATTGTCTTTGCCCTGCTCTGCAGACTGGTTGGAAACGGCCCTTCTCCAGTGTATCCTGGTCAAAGGAACCTTGGCATTGCAAACCACTTCTTGGGGCTCTCAGCTTGCCCCGCAAAGGATTCAAACGCGTCTCACAAAGACTCCCAGCTGTGCTACGGCCTCCGAATTCGCATCACCCTGTCAAGGCAGCAGAGCAGCGAGTCCGGGATCGTTGGTGTACAAGGAACCTCTGGCAGCCTTGCACCTGCCATCAAGAATGAATCCAGCTCGCACGGGACACCAAAGACATCACTCCCGACCAAGGCACACTGTCTCCTCCAGATCGACATGTCGGCTTCTGCCGGAGCGCTTGAGCTTGATGGGAAGGCACTTGTTCTCTCTGAAATGCACCTTGTGAATTCGTCAGGTTCCACGCTTGTCGCGTGGAGTGATGTTATCAATCGACCATGCCGGGGCACTTGATGGAGACACCAGTTGGGAAATCCCATCCGGACTGCTGCCCTCGGAACGACTTCTGGGGTGATGTTTGATTCGTCTGTCCTGCAACCGCTCTCTGCAAATGACAGCAAGCAGCAGTGCGGCTAAGCATCGGTGGCTTCACCATCCAGCAACAGTTTAAAACTTTGAGCCAGCGGTAGATTTCGGGCAAGCGCCTTCTGTGGGTCTTGCTGCGAATCTATTGGTTGAGAAAGAACGTCCAGCTTGCATGGACTAAATTCTGACAATCGCGCTCCAGCGCAACAGCAACAGAAGCAAACTCCCTTGCAAGCACAATCCGGATGTGGGTAAGGTTGGTCTCTGTCACAATGCCTATGCTGGCAGCACAAGGCAAAGCCCGGGTGTGACGCTGCAGGTCTTGCGGGAGCTCCGCAGTCCGGGCATACCTGTGGCGCGTCTGAGGATTTCCAGCGAGACAGGCCGCTATGCCGGGCAAACTCCGCAGCCCCTTACTGTTACGTCGGCAGATTCGGCGAGTTCTGATTTCAAATCCGTCCACCAATCTGTAGTGCTTAGCATGAAATCGCTTCCTGCCAGTCAGGCTGGTGCCGAAGGAGTGCACATTCCCGAAGCCGAAACACGAGGACACTAGCTCCCACACTCCGAACTCCAGACCCTTACAGAACCGCGCTGTCGTGATGCTTGTGCACAAATTCACTCTAGCCGAAGCGCCGGCAGCGACCCGCGTGCACGATAGAGAGCAGGATATCTCCTCGCGCGGGACTGCCGCGAAGTTGACACCACGCGGACGGGAGAGGGATCTCAAAGCTCTCGATCAGGTATCAGACGTTTTAGACTTGGGACTGGAACTTTAGGCTTTCACATTCAGGGCGTTGGGCTTACGCTCGACCGGCTTGGGCGTACAGCCCAGGCTTCAGGGCCTGGAAAGCCCAAGGAGCACACTTTTCAAATGAATCTTTCAAGCCAAGCCTACGTTCTTAAACCTGCAGCAGGGCCTTGGGTTGCGAGACTCTTCTGTACTTCAGATCTGTAAACACAAAAGGCTCGTTGAGGCACTACATTCAAGGATTGAGAGAAGCTGTAACGGACTTCGGGATGTCGGCAGCGCAACATCACAAGGGACAGCATGGACCGAATGCCAGGTTCTGCGAAAGCAACGGGATCTCTAGGCTGAAGATCGATCTGAGATTTCGGCAACTCTCCAGCCGCTGCAAGAGCCTGTGGCAAACATGTAATCATGCATGCGCATGCTGTGCCTTTCAGCAGCGGACTGGACAACGCTGCGTTGTGCTGTCCCACAGCCCTCAGTCCGTAACACGCAGGAACAGAATCCTCGCACATGCTCACGGAATTGTGCGCATGCCAATCCGAAGAACCCAACAGAGCCTGCAGCTGCTTCTCGTTGGGGGGCTCTGGGATCCTGAGCCCGGCAAGAGGGTTGCAACAGAAGTCTAGGTGATTAAGATTCAGTTCTCCTTGCAAAACCCCCATCATGGGCGAACTGAGCTTGCAACTCCAGCTTCTCATCTTAGCGAAATGCGTGCAGTCAAGACCCCCATGAGACATGGCCGAGGTCACGAAGCTCGTCTTTTCGACGGAGGCTTCCAAAGTCATGCAAAAGAGAAGGCAAAGGTCACGAGGAGAAGGCACAAATCCTCCTCAGCAGGCCAAACCTGGTGGGGCACTTCAGTTAAGCTTCTGGAGCTGTCGGGCTTCATGAGAAGTGTGGGTTCATGTCATCATAGTAGGGTTTAGCAGAGCAGTTTTGGATGAAAGCGCAAGGCTGCGAACTTCACTAGTTTCGGCTGCGACCGTGAACCACGAAATCGTGCGACAGACTGGAGCTGCCTTCTTGGTGCAGCCCACAGAGCATTGCAGGAAGCCTCGCAGCACTGCTGAGGGTTGAGTGCCCAGAAGTAACCAACCAACGCTCAAATGCGAGTAGACCTGTGCGCCCATGAAGCTCGAGTAGCGCCGTCTCCGGCCATTCTGGTCAAGTGAACATAGATGTCACGACAGGGATTCAGGATGCACAGTGGTTGAGACATGCTTCAGGGCAAATTCCGGGCCTAACCCCTTCTGCAGCCACGCGCCATCCACCTGTTCCGAACGAGAGCGCCCGGCAGTATCATCAGCAGACTAAGGACTAAGGCTTCTCAGCTCCAGGCCGCAGTTGAGATGCAAAAGGCGCCCAAGGGTGCGCGCGTGGCATAATTCAAAACCTCGGCAAGGAATGCACACAGGGCTTGCACAGCCAACACACTGGAGGGATGGCGCCTGTTTGTATGGTTTTAAAGCATCGTCCGGTGGGTTGCTGTATCTCCTGGCAGTGCCAGGGGATGCATTGCTGAAATCTTCGACGTCACAGAGAGCCTCTGGAGAGTGCCCCACAAAGCCCAGGCCAAATATGGATCCTCGCTACAAAGCCGCACATCCAAAAAAAACTCAGGATGCTCGCACGTGCCTTGAGACAGGTGTCTTCAGAATCATCCTGCGCCTTCAATTGACGAGGGGTATGCTTGAGCTTGCAAACAACATAGCTGCTTGTCCACGTAGCCTCCAAGAAACAGTTCGCACAATACACCTCTTCCAGCGGAAAGCCAGCAAAGTCCTCGAATATCAAGTTCCAAACAAGTTGCAAAACTTCCGCATACCAAGCTTTCCAATAAGGCGTCCGCCCGCAAAGCTTCCGGGCCTTCAAAGGTTGGGAAACCGGCATGAGCGCCTGGCACAACAACGAAGATATGAAACATACTGTACCGGTGCGAACAAACAATGACGATGGCTCATGCTCAAAACCTGCTCGTGCACTGCTTTACATTCGATTGTGATCACTGATTGCGGCTTCGTCTGCTTTGCAGCGTGCCTAAGCCGGCGCCCGCACCTATCAGAAGCGCATCAGCCTCGGCTTCAAGCAACTGAGGATTTCACGGCCGCCCTGCNNCCCCCCCCCCCCCCCCCCCCCTGCGGAGTACGCATGTTGGGCTCAAAACCGAGCGCAACCAATCGGCTGCGTGAACTACTTCCTCCAATCTCCACTGAATGCAGCAGGCCACGAGCGAAAATGCATGCCGTACATGCCCGAACAAATTTGGTCATGACGGCTAGCCGGCTAGCCAGATTGCAGCGCAAAAAAATCACTGACGTCTCCTGCGGCGATTCTCGGAGATCTGCCTGTGGGGCAACATGGCCGGCAATCACACGGCTCTTCAACAAAATTCGGTTTCTGCACTCCCACGTTGATGCAACTCCATTTCAACCTGCCGCCTAGAAGCATCGACGAAAGCATGCACACAAAATCACCCAACTTGATCTCGAGGCCTTGACCTATGCACTGGGTTCTCACTGCAATTTTCGTGAGGTCAAATCCTGCTTCTGGTCTGGTTCATGAGAACTCGAGGGGCCATGACTTCGTACTTCACTGCCCTCCACCTGTGACGCATCGCTCTGCTCCCCTGATCTGCCCTGCCTCGGCCCTGTGAGCCGCATGCATCCTGCCGGGCTCAAAGCTGCCAGCGATGAGTTCCATATCCGCGCTTGCATGGGTTGCCTCGTCAGCTCCGTTCGCAGGCCTGAGGCAGCAAGCCCCCAAAGCAGCAAACATGAAAATGGCACTGCGCACTTCACAGTCAACCAGGTGTGCGACATCATTGCCGGTGACAGTGGACCCGTCTGTGCCAATGATAATCTATCTGCTCGGCGGCTAAGGCAGCAGCTGCCCCTCATTGGCAAAGATGTCGGCGGCATGGCCTGACAGAAGAAACTGCGTTAGAATGAAAAGCAGTATCCTTTCTGCTTGAAACATGGAAGTGAGCACAGCCTTTCCACCGTTGCCACCCCTTTTGTGAATACTGCTGTGGCGGTAATACTGCGTTGTAGTACTTGCTCATACTTGACTTTGACAGTCTTGCCAAACTGCTAATGGTGTTTGTGTGTTTCTCTGGTCACAAGGTCGCAAAGGTAAGCCTTTGAGAATAGCAGCAGCTTCAAGACAAGCTGAATTACTACTGTGATGCTGTCTGGCTTGCTTCTCCTTTTTCTTTCATACTAACACTACTTTGTCTACGATTATGGCGAAAGCCAGTCGCACTGCAGCTGCTAGTGTATTCCTGGGGCCTGTCTTAAGCGTTCCATGCCTCTTCCAAGTGGCATGTGCTTCCTCCGGCTACCCCACCACCACCAGAACCTTCAAGACAACCCCGCGAAACCACTGCAACCTCTACTTGCATTACCACCGCCGCTATTGCCAACTCTTCCTACTAATATTTCTCCTGTATTACTCCAGCCACCACTACTACTGCTACGTACTGAATGCGACTGCTACGACTACGACTATGGCTGCTGCCACGTCTTCTGCTACGCCACTATGTAGTTACTGCTTGCTACTACAGCTGCTGCTTCTACTTGTAGTTCTATTTCTACGTCTTCCTTATAGTTTATCACGATCACGACGACGACCATTACCACCACTGCCACTGCCACTACTGCTCCTGCTCCTGCCCCTGCCACTGCTACGGCTGCGGCTGCTTCTACTACAAACTACAACCCACCACCAGACGACTACCACTGGTACTGCTGCTGCTGCTGCTGCTGCTCTTGCTGCTACCACTGCCGCTGCCGCTGCCCTAGCCGCTGCTCCGACTGCCAGTGCTACTGCCACAGCCACTGCTGCTCCTGCTCCTGCTCCTACCGAGGCCCAAGACGACTGCGATCGTACATGTTGCTGCTACCACTTGTCGGCATAACCAGCATCACTAGTAGGCATTATATCTTCTTCCGTTCTTGCAAACACTTCTCTTTGGGGCCTTGCTGTAACAACCACAAATGTTTGCACTGCACGTTTTCGACTGCGGCTGTCAATGAGCTGTCAATGGTTGTCCACTTGCAAAAGACTCAGGACCTACAGCACACACTGAGGCTCCAACGAACTTCGCCTGAGTTTGAAAGTTTCTGGAATCATACTTGCATCTCCAGGCTTGGACAGGGCAATGTTCTGATGGCAGGCATACCCGAAAGCCGCGAACAGTGCAGCGAGAAGGGAGCCCCGTGCCGCATCTGAAAGCTGTTCGTGGTGTGACGCGAAATGAGCCACGGACCTCCGTCCAACCTGGCAGTCCTTCAGCGCTGCACGGCTCACAAACTGGACGAAAACCGGGAGCCTTCACAAGACGTGTTGACGGCAGTTAACGAGGACTCGTCTACCCTGCAGCAAACGGGATGTTCCAGACATCCAGAAGCTGCTTTCCCCCATGCTGTATGCTGCGCCACACTGTGGAAACCATTGGCAGTCATCCGAGCAGTCTCAGCGGTTTAACGATGGGTTTGCGAGCGAGCTCTTTACGGGTGTTTCACAGCGCAGATACTCGCGCAGATACTCTTCTGCCGCACGAACTATATACCAAGGTGACCGCCATGGACGAAGTTGGCTCAGTTTGGATGACACTACACAGGAGCATGACTCCCCCCGTCGCAGGGTCTGAGCTGCCATTGTGGTCTCGAAGGCAGCTGCTCTGCCCAAAAGCTTTGCGCGCTCTTTCAACTAGAGGCCGTGGCAAGTCTGGCAGACAATCAGGACGCCGTAGAATTGCACGCCGAGAGCTTCTGTACTAGGTTATCCTACAAACAGAATCGTCAGAATTGCAGGCATGGTACACCAATTCGACATTCCGAAAAGGGAGTGCCTTCACGAAGGACAGGTCAAAGAATTACGACTTGTGCGGCTGTCCAACAGCGAATGCCTAAACTATTTATTGCTGCACCACAGCAGGCAAAGACTCGCAAGCAGCAGATGCGTCCTTGTGACCGAGTGCGGATTTTATCCTGACAAGATGGAGAAGCATTGGATCAAAAGTCCTGTGCTGTGCAGCTGTGCAAGCTTTCTCAAAGCAGAACACATACTGCGAGGCAGGATGCCTCATTGGCACTGTTTGCCCGTTTCCGCCGGCGATGTTCGGTCCTGAGGGTTCGCAGAAGGACCGAGGTCCTCATAGATGGCAAACAGCTTTCTCGGGCCATTGCGTTCCCGTCGGAGGTGGCATGGCCTTGTCAACCATTGTTGCACTTCCATCGAACAGGCAAAGCGGCAAAGTTGAATATACTTTCGTAGCATGCAACAAGCAGCCAAGCGTCAACAAAGAAAACCGCTTAGGGGAAAAAACCGAAGGGATGTCAGCTAGTAAACGAACCGACAGGCATGGCTGTGGCCCTCTCGGGCGCCAGAGTCTTTCCCGCTGGAAGCCACATGCGTCTGACCACATTGGGTCGAAAGGTCCGCAGCATAACTGGCAGCCTCTGCTGTGAGATCAAATTGTCCGGGTTGGCATCTCGCTATTGCCAGGGCAGAAATGTGAAGGGAAGTTGGGGAGCATGATGCAGTACCAATGCAGTACCATTGCGCCGGCCCGGCTGTGGCGTGGCCCCGATGTTCGCCCACAATGAAAACATGCCTAGCCACTGCTGGAACAGTCTTTGTCCAGCAGGTATTGAAAAGCTTGAAAATGAATTTGTCCAGCTCTGGCCTTTTGCTTGGCCTATAGGAGTCTAGCAGCTTCTGGCCTGAAGTTCCGATAACTCCGGCATATGGATGGTTCACATTCCGTGCGCAAGGCCAGGCTTGTTCGATTGCTCCGGCACATCTGCTAACGTTCAGTTCTGAGCACAGGAGGTAGGCGAAAGAGCCAGGCTCTGCGCGGTCTCTAGTTTGATGTAGCACCACACGGCAGCAGGCGCCTCACAGCGGAACTTCCAAGCATCTGATGCAGTTTCGGCGGCAACATTGTCAGCTACTGCACAGGCGCGCCTTGAAAAGCATTGTCTCTATCGCAACATCTGCTCCGTAACCTGACTACCTCGGAGAAGATCAAAAAAGGTCAACAGCGGAAACATCCCTGGCGTTTCTAAGACGCGAGATCAACTTCCAAACTCGCAATAAACCCTCAGCACGTGCCCCGCCGGTTACGTTGTCGCGAACACACACTGAAGCTGGGGCATATAACCTCACCTAGAAGCATATCAGGAAGAAAACACTGATACGAGTAGTAATAATGAATAAGGTTGCATGGAGCAGTCGAGCTCTTTGTGCACCACAATTAGCGCGTCTAAGGTTTCCGTGTGCACGACGCAAAGTACCGAAAGTCACATCAGCCGAAACGCTTGGCATCTGCTGGACGCCATCGTGCTTGACCTGTGCAAGCCATTTGATGCCACGCAACTTCCTGTTGTTCGATTGGGGGCAAGCCGCAGATTCATGGAGTTGCCGGCGAGGGACCAAGTAAGTGGTGTCCGCGGCTTTGACGCACATCCTAGGAGCGTAGGCCCGCCCAGTGACTGCATGTAGCACTGCACCGTCGTGCGGCGAAGGGGCATTCGCATGGTCGTAAAGATACATGTTCGTGGTCTCCGCCGGTGGAGGGACTCTTGATCAGTCTCCAAACCTAGTTGACACTGCCCGGAGACGGAGCTGATGAGCTGCACTGCCCGGCCTCGGTGCTTCACGTGCTGGCGGAGAAGCCTCGGTTCTGCAGAGAGATTTCTTCGCACTCTTGCCCCGGCACCTTTGACGCCAAAGCGCTTGCAGATCCGCTTCACGTCTTCGTCATGAAACTGGCGGTGGGGCCCCGTGGGGCAGGCACATGCAGGCCCTCAGCCCTCCCTCAACCGCGCCTGCTCCGTGGGCCTCTCCAGGCACATGAGCTCCTCGAGTAGATTCGGCGGCCGCTACCAAAAAAAAACGGCACTAACCTTAAAGAAAACTCAAAAGCCCTTATAAGCCCCTTCGGACCCTTTGGCTGAGGCCCCTTGCTGCATTTGCAATGAATGCCCGGGCCAAGGACAGCGCCTGGCACCTTCGAAGCAAAGTCTGCGTCTTCGGTGTCGGCTATGCTTCCCAGACCTGGGCCAGTGCCACCAAGTCACTGCGTAGCGGACAGCTTCTGACCCCAATCACGTTCCTTGACGTCTGCCTGCGACTTGATCTCTTCCTTTCGCACGGAGCTGGAGTCAGGTGGATGTGCGTCTTTGTTCCAAAAACTGATTTTGTTCAAAGATCGCATGTGCATCACGCCCACGCGCATGCTTGACACTGCGGAACAGAGAACAACCTGCCCGGGTGCAGTGGCAGTCCAGAATCTTCGGGCCAAGATGGAGGCTTTCGCAGATGTTCAAGACCCGCTGCATGGAAGCGTCTTCCGCATGCCTGCCATTTCCGTGGCCGGTTCTCTAAAGCTACTCTGCTCTGACATCCCCTGCCTGGCGCCATACACCAAGTTGGAGTAGAGGCTGCCATGAAAAAACAAGATCATGTGGGGAACATAGAGTACCTTGCTTTCGCCATCAATGAAACCAACCGTGAAAGCTGAGCAGATGGAGGTCTTCTGACACGTCGCCTCTGTGTCAACATCCCCCCTCCCCCCCAATCTCGCCCAAGCAGCTTGCAGGTGAGCAGGAACGAAGAAGAGGGCTGCAGTATTGTCCAGCTGGGGCAAGTTCCTCCCAGCAAGAATCCTGCAGTTGATGGCGCTTTTCCAGTATGGGTGGTAGATAAGGCAGAGGCCCGCAAAGACGGCAAGTGAACAGATTGAGAAATGGTGGTCAACGGGAGTGGTTACGACCCTGTCGTTATCAAGCTGACCCCGGCCATAACGCATTGTGGTTAAAGTCTACGGTTAGCTGCTGCATGAGTGGTTGCTTTCCGGTTGTTCTCCTCACTGACAGTCTCACATCTACAAGTGCTTGCAGAAGGTTGCCATTGCTATCTCTTCTTCCTCATGCTTCGATAGACTGTCAGGCTCCTGTCCCCTGTTGACGCCATTATTGCTCCAACTCGTCTTCAATCTCTGTTTCGCTGCCATTGTTACCGCCTGTGTTGCACCAGTGGTGGTTAGTTACCATTGCTGGCGATTTCCTCCCAGGAGTTCAGTCCTCAGCAGTGTCGACTTCCCGGAATGGCGTGCGCCGATAATGGCCAGAAGCTTTCCCTGCGCAAACTCCAACCTGACGCTGCAGTTCCGGGCATAGCTATAAGGTTCCACGTTCCGCAGACTTGCTCTCGGCGCTTTGGTGCTTCCGAGCTTAGGTGGGCTTTCTCTCGTTGCCAAAGAGGACAACTGTGATTGACACTGTGCTACTAACGGCTATCAAACTGCACCGCACAGGCAAAAGCGCGAGGCTACCGAGGCTACCGCCTTTGGTCGGAGAACTGCTACAGTAGCTGCTAGCTTCAGGTGATGTCCAATGATGTCCAGTGCTCTGATTCAAGCAGTCCTGTCTCGTGAAGAGAGCTATTCACGACACAAATGCATGTTTCTCACGCCCTGCACGGGCGCTTGTGAGCGGAGGTTCACTTGAAGCATGGCTGTGAACTTCCAAGTCCGTGGAAGACGAAAGCTGCCTTGAAACGATGAGCTCCCTGGGAGTGAGAGTAGGTTTTGAGCGGGAACCTTCAAACACCTGTTGACAACGATTCCAAGCCTGGCGATTCTCATCCATTCCCTTCTCGTCGCGTCATGTGCATGGCTCTAGCAATGAAGAGGAGCAGCCTTCCATCGAAGGACACCGGCTCATTGCCCGGATACGAAAACCGCAGGTTGTGGATGGCCTCGCAAAACGACAGAAGGCTGGCTACCACCAACACACCGGCAGATTTCCTGCGTGTGCACTAGTGTAACCAGTGACCCATGCAGCCAGGATTCCAAGTTCAGCCCGTCCACCACAAATCCTTCGCCATGCAGGGTTGTCTTAGTCGAACGACAACGGTTCGTCTATGCCAGAGCGCCCGCGTCCTGGATCTTCTTCGGTGTCCTCGTCCGTCTTCTCCTTGACGAACTGCGCAGTCGCCAATCGACGGTGGCGCTCCAAATCTCTACCTGTTGACAAAATCAGACACCGCATGCGTCGTTGCCGTGCATCAACGAGGTGCTGCCGACCAAATCGCTGCCAAGCTGCGATGCAGGAGATCTGTCGGTAAATTGAGGAATCTGACCATGCGGTCCTGCAGAGACTACTGCCTTGCAGCATCCCTTCCATGCTGCTACCTAGCCGTGGACCCGCTGAGGATGCGAATGGCAGCCGGCATGAACCATGGACACTTCAGTTCTGTCCAGGGATGGAGCCACCCTCTGCATCGCCAGCAAGACTTGACACAGCTCCTTGAGCAAGGTTTTTCAAACCGCGAACCCAGAGCATGAACCAAAGCCAGATAAAGCTCTGTGCCAGCAGCCCCGGCGGTATTGAAAACTCCAATATTGGTAACCTTGGCTCCCGGCTGCCATGTTGTCTTCGAGCACTTTGCCGCGTTTAGTGCGAAGAGGCAGCGAACATTCCAAACTCCAGCCGGCCGTCCATGACCGAAATACCACCGAATACAGTGTACACGGCAACTAGGAAGGTGGTCCTTGACATGGGTTGTGCCATCTGTCTGCGGCATGCGACTCTTGTCATGTGTTTCAGACAAATCACATCCATGCAACGAACTGCTGGTTGTTCACCTCCATCTGCGCACATTCCTGGGGCTTGCAGTTGAACACTGCTGTCACTGGCACTGCTGGCCTTTCTTAAGGAGAGGCCGCCGAGCATCCACCGCTGATTTGTTGTAAGCAACCAGTCGTTCGTGGAATTGATCCTGGCTGCGAGCCCAAGGCTGAGCTTGTGACTCAGCAGCTGATACACTGTCCACACTTGGTCGCACATGACTACGAGTTGCAGGGCAAGCGGCCATCACGGTGGTCGACTGGCCTGACCACCGATGGATGAGAACAGGGCGGCGCGAGATTCAAAACATAGGCAAGACTGGGTCAACACAGCTCCAGGCTGCGACTGCAAGCCGAACGCTAGAATGAATGCAGCTGTGCCGCCAAAGTCTGCGATCAACCGAAATGTCCGCACACTTTCCCTCGGGTCGCCAATATCACAGTTGAGTTACTGGACTTTTGAATGCGGCAAAGCAATACAAAACGGCGCAAGACGACATCGGGGCAGGGTGCTAACTTCCCACAATCTTCTTTCGAAGCGCCAGAAAATGGAACAGTAAAGCTTCAAAATGTCAATCCGAGAAGCGTGATGTAGCCAACCATGCCGGCTTCCTGTACTGCCAGCTTTGGGGAAGCTGTTATGAAAGGCTTGCGCCGGAAGCCCGCGCCCGAGACAGGTCTTCTTAGCAGGGCCTCTCGGATTTCTCTAGCTTGCTTGCTTTTTGAAGTTAAAGACAAGAGCAGCCGCCTTGTCTTCACTGTCACGTAGAACTTTGGTCTGGCCGTTGAACCGTACGCACAAGAAGAAGCACCTCGGTGCCAGCGAAACACCACTTTAAAACGCATGTCCTACTGGCAGTGCGTAAGGCTACAGTGTCATCATGGTCACGGAAGAGGTCGCTGCCATATGCGGCAACACGCCCAGAGCCGTTGGCAAGGAGAGGGAGACTGGCTACAGGAAAGAAATTAAGACATAAGCTCGTGGCGCTATCCGCTAGGCTAGCCTCATCTCTTCGCATAAACTGTCTCAACACGGGAATGCTTTCCGGCACGTTGCTGCATCATGAGACATGTAACTGAATTCAACCACTGTAGACACCCAACATGCGCATGAATGTGGATGAAAACAAGTAAAGGCAAAAGCAAGGTGTGCAGCGTGTTGCGTTGTATGTGTTACCTGTGGTGTGTGCTGTTGGTGTGCGCCGAAAGAATGAGCTCGCCGAGAGCGCATCCCCGTGTGCTGGACCTGAGAATAATTAATGACCGTTCGAAGCGTCGCAACCAACACCCAAACTCCACCTCCCAAAAACTGCCTTGTCCTTCGCCTGGCCGAAACATCCCCAGAGCCGAAGGCACGTAATGAGCGGAATGCATAGGGCAGGACCCAGACCTCGGTTGCAATTGCATAGTGATGATATCACACCGAGTCCATTCTAAATTGCGGTAGGTAGGAATGCACAGAAGGAATAATTACGCAGGTAATGTGTGCACATACGGTACACAGACATGAATATACGTTTGCATGTACATATACATAGAGCCGGACATAGACGGAAACATACCCATGCATACATATACACACACATATGTATATGCATATGTACAATATGCTATGCTAGTCTATTCTGTCTGTTCGATCATACTATATTACAATGCCTGATAAGAATATATATTCTATTGTGATATACTATCTACATACATACATACATACATACATACATAGATACATACGTACATACATACATACATACACACATACACACATACACACATACACACATACACACATATACATACATACCTACCTACATACATACTTACCTACCTACCTACCTACATACATACATACACACACATATATATCTATGTCTATATCTATCTATATATGTATGTATATANNCCCCCCCCCCCCCCCCCCAATGGTTGGTCCCCCCCCCCCCTTCTGCTCAGTCCCTCCGCTTCCCTGTGGTGTGCTGTGGTGTGGTTCGCGGTTCGGGTCGCCCTGGGTGTTTCGAAATCGTCGTCATCATCATCGTCATCATCATCGTCATCCTCATCGTCATCCTCATCGGCATCATCATCGTCATCATCATCGTCATCATCATGATGTTCCTTTCTTGGGTCAACTGCCACAAGAAGCGGGCCCGATAGGAACGCCTCTTGGTGACAATAGCATTTTCAATACCCTCATGGCAGAGTCCTGGTTGGAAAGTGTCCATTGTCACAAGGATCGGGCATGTTTGTGACGAGATCCTCGTGACAACTGATGGCGTTGGAGCCGCCATGTGGGAGAAGTACGCACAGTCACAGGGATTCGGCATATTTGGACCTGGGCGTGCGGGGGGGGGGGGCGGGAATGGGGGGACCGAGAACCGGGATCATATACGTGTGAGTCTTTCACGAGAAGCTCTCGGTTCAGCTTTGCAGGGAACCCCCGGAGCTGGACGAGGGAGAGAACAGACGCCAGGTCGAGGTCCAGGCACGAATCGTTGTGTGTGCCTCGAAGGAGAGAGTCGGCGAGGAAGCCAGATGTTCAAAACGGCAAATCATCGCTCTCCGGACCGTTTAGGCGCTTAAGCATGCTAAGTGTAGACAGAAGGAGGCTCTGATCACGGAAGGAGAGTGCTCTTTTCTCATGCTTACCTTCCAGCCACGGGGTCGCAATAGCGTGGCACAGGCCAATCGCAGAGAGGAAAGAAAAGGAGGCCATTGCTCTTGCTCATGTTTGATGACAACGCATGCATCTGTGAATCGAAGTATCTCACAAGCAGGCAAGGTGAGTTTAGCCCGCTAGTTTGACATGCCTCCAAGTGTTGGCTATACATACGCTACAAGCGCGAGAGGCCTGTCGAGCAAGAGCCAAGACCCGTGAACGAGGTACAGCGCTTGGACTTGGCTGGCAAGCAACCTAGGACGTCGCGAGATGTCTCAGACGATCCTGCAGGCTGCACCACCGAACCGGAAAGCGGAGCTACTCCCACCAGTGTGGGTCACAGTATCGGCTCTTGGCTTCGGACAACAGCTTTGTCAGCGCGATTCTGCTTTTGACTCAGGTAGAAAATTTCCTAAAGAAGCACGGCGTCAGATGCCGAAGGCACAGGCTTTTGCTTCAGAAAGTCCTTCCACTGACGCTGCCAACCTGCATGTGTCCGAAATCAGAGCTTGAGCACTGGTATGTCCGAAGTCTATGATCGGAGCTCGATGCCTCACGTGATCTCAAGTCTTTTTCTGTGGATGCGGGGTTTCCAGTCCAGAGCGATTAGCTTGCCTGGCTGGGAGAAACATGCCAGATCTGGGCATGCCGCTTCAGGTATACGCTGCAGCGGTCTTTCCGATCAATCAGATATGCGTGCCTTGATTTGACTGATGTGCTGCTATTCTGGTTCGCCCGTTCTGCATGCACCAGTTGATCTTATCAGGAGTTTCGCTTGGCAATGATCTTGAAGCATGGTTGCTGAGGCAAGATGCAGCCAAGGCGACTGCAAGGAAAGAAGGTAAACAAGTGCCTTCAAAGGCTTCCGAGAAGATAAAGGCTGCAGAAATCCCACCCTGGGATCAGTACCTGCAGGCTAACTCCTCCTTCGTTTCGCAGGGCAATTTTATGCAGACGGTGGCGTGGCAAGTAGAGGGGAGGCGCGTGCTCAGTGTCGTACCACACTCGAAGATGACCGATGTCGAGAAAGTTGCCAAAGCTGTACAGAAGAACGTGTCGTGCGTGAAACAGTGCAAGCTGGCCGACATTTCCAAGGAGACTGGGTTCCCAGCATTTGTTTGCCCGCCTTTTGGTTATCCACCTGATGCTGAAGGCCGACCCCCACTTCTTCTCGTTGACAGCTCTGTCACCGAAATGAAGCGGCCCTTACTCTTCGATGTTGGCTCCATGGGCGTCTCTCTCACAGTCAGTGAGTTCCTACGCAGCACGCGTGCCTGCTGCGTGGAGAACCTGGCGCAGCCCATGGCAAACTCGAGGAAGATACCGGTTGCCGCATGCGCAGATGGGGCCTCACGGGGCGCTCCATCACCGGAGCCGGCTCCCGAGCCGGCCCCGATCATCAATGACGCGGCTGATGCCATCATGACGTAGCTCGAACGCTTGAGAAAGCTTAAGTTGTGGCGACAAAGGGCAGAGGGAAGCTGAGCCCACGAGCCGTGTTGGCATGACCTGATATTACCAGTAGGTAGGCATGTGTCAGACGTGCTTGCTGCTGCAGCATTGGCCCGTAGATCCAATCATGCTCGCGATTCATCTCAGAGCATAGGCATGGAGTCCGACTTGTTTCATCAGTGAATTGTCGGATTGTCGGCGTCGTTCCTCGCAGCAGAGGCGTGCGCAACATTACACTGCTTGAAGCTAACTTGACCATGCTGTCCAGCAGAACCGAATCCGAGCAGCTAGACAAGACAGTAAATTCCTCCGACGCGAAACGATGATTCTGCTGTGGTGCATATCGTTGTCTGAAGCTCGCACTGGAACAGAGTGGCATCACCCCGATCAAGAAGGTTAGAAGGCGTCGTGAGTCTCCATAGTGCAAGTTCGCATAATGCGTGGTAGCAGCTCCCGAGCCATTGATGACTTCACTACGAAGCTCAAGGGATTTGGTCGAGGACTCAATTGACAAAAATTGCCAAAGACTTCAGGAATGACTTTCATAGTCTAGCCGACAAAGGCTTCGGCCGAGTGCGGAGCAAAATTGGAATCATTCTGTGATAGGTCGAGGTAGCGCCACGGCTGATGTGGAGGTCTCGCTGCGTTAGTGGCATGCCAGTCTATCTTGGGATCAGTGACCTTCCAGCTGAGCAAGAAAAATCTGCACCAGGACCCAGCCGCCCCCGCGACTGAAGCCTCCTCTTCGTGCGACTGCGCGGTTGTGGTTCACTTCTTGCTAGTTGCTGCTCAGACTGTGTGTTGCCAGGTGGTTCTCAAAGATTGGCAATGCCTTGCCCAGCATGGCAGAGGCAGCGGCTGCTGCGAAGGCTTGACGCAAAGGTTGGCGGTTGCCGGTTAATGTTTTCAGATTGAGAGTTGATCCTGGAGAGATGGGAACTGAGGCCGGAGACTTCAATGCGTTGTCCAAAGCTGCTTCCTCTGCTCAGCAGGCCTCCTGTTAACCCGCAGTAACACGTTGCATTGCGAGCCCGTCCTATGGCCGTCCCGCGAAGCACGATATCATTCTGTGTCCTGTCTGCTGCAGTGGGATCAGCTTAGAAAGCGAGATACGTGCACAAAAACGAAGTACGTCATTCATTCGCGGTGTCCACGTACATGCAAGGGCTTTCAGCAGGGCTTCTCTGACATCACAGGGAAAGCAAAGGCCGGCTGAAGTTGCCATGCAAACGTACAGAGGCTTGTCCTGGTCTGCCACTCCAGGGGATGGCCAAGCAAGCCTCCACGACCATTTCGGAGAATGCAATTTCCAGAGAGAGGCCAAGACCGCAACTGCAGCTTCAGCACAAAGGCAAGATGCTGCAATGGCCACTGGTCCAGGTGGATGACCTTCTTTGGGGGAGCTCTACTTGGCTGCTTTCTCATGAGTCAGCTGCTCATATCTGCTCATGGTGTACGGGTGCATGTGCCATGTTAAAGCCATGCGGAGTGTTTATGAGGTCTTGCCTTCGTGTTCCTGTGCGTGCCTTGGCATCTTGATCGTCCTCACGATTCCTCTGTAGTGGCAACCATGCAAGTTATCATCGGCCTGTCGCAGTTCTCGAGGCCTATCGTGGTTCTAATGCCGCAGAAATTTGCGTTGCTTTTCACCCTTGGTCAGATTCCCAGCTCCGTTCGCTGAGGGTTGACTGCAGGCCCGCATAGGTGTTGTTCGCCATGCTACATTCCCAAGGTTCACTTTGCTTCCTCGGAAGCTTTTCGGCCCTTCGTGGGCATGCGGCTTTTGCGAGGCACGGAGCCTTTGCAGTTTCCGCAGAAGTCTTGGGACTTCGTTTGCGAGGCATTTGTTTTCCCGCAGCCGGCTTCCTTTTACATTGACCTACAGCGGTTCCATGGCAGCTTGGCTTCCCGTCCTCAGGCAGCCGCAGTTGCTCAGATTACAGCTTGTGCTGGATGGTACTGCTGCCGAAGTATCGGTCTATGTAGCCGCAATGTAGCAGTTGACTTGTCTTGCATAAGGGCGGCACTCTCTGGGCCTCGCTGATCTACAGGTCGGGGTGAGCCGGCGCATTCCTCCTATGCTGCTGCGATGTTCAGCAGGTCCTATTTGTTGACCATTGCCTTCTCTGCGGTGCAGGAGCGATTGTCAGATTGTCATTCTCATGCCTTGCCTCCTGTCTACATAATGGCTGCCTTGGATTGCAGGTGAGTTCACTAGTGCTGGCATCCCAGATGCGGGTAGATGCGCTCCAGAATGAATGCCGACAGTCACATTGACTCCCGACGTGACGAAAACGGCGGAGATCTTAAAATTGCGGTTGGGCCCCATGAAGATCTCCACTGCGTGCGGAATCCAAGTGAAACCAGAAACAGGGTGAGCTAGCCCGTTCTTCGGGACCTGCATACTCTCCAACACTCGCTGTCAGACAATCTGCCTGTTCTGTATCCGGAAGCGATTAAAGTGATCTTAAATGAGAGAAAATGGTAGTTGAAGCATGAGCAATAGCAGAAGGACAGGGTAGTTTGCTCGGCTTTGCCGCTAGCCGTGCAAGCATTTTACTGTCGAACAGACTGTGGCGAAACCTCATGGCCAAGCCCAGCAAAGGCCACAATCTCAACACAGGGCGAGGTGTCGCCGTGTTTTCTGCACTCACGACAAGCTCCCGTTTGAAGATTTGGCCGGCATTCGAGCTCTGTGCACCTGAGCACATCGAACTCAGCAGTAGTTCGCGCCAGCAGCGAGTAGTCGTGTTCTCGCTTGCTCAGAGGGTGCTGTGGACTAGTGCAAGGTGGTTCCTGTTGTCGTACATTCCTGGAGGGAGGCTCGGCCTTTTCAAGGCACGAACAAGTCGCAGAATGCATTGTGAAGTGCCGCCGGAAGGCGTGCGCTGAGCCTTGTTACGGGCATGGCTTGGAGGCTGTAGTCACGGCCCCTTGCTCTATTCTAGATCAAGACTAGCAGCTGAAGGATATGCAAAGGATGCTGCAAGTGCGCAAGCCTTGGCCTCAGTGCATACACAGCGCAGCTTGGGCTCTGCCATGGCACTTCAAAGCTGAGGCAAGGGATCGTTACTACCATTTTGAGGCCTTGAGCTGAGAGCCTTTGCTAATATTGTGATTCATGGCAGTGAGCATTGCGAGAGCGCTTATGGCACGCATGCAAATTCACCACTTGAGGCACGGACTTGTGGCTCAGGCTTCTGTTGGCCCATGCCTGATGCCTCGACGAAGTCGAGGAAGTGTATTTGCAATCGCTTCGCTTGTGTGCCTCCATTCCAAAAGAGGTATCCAGTTCAATCCGGGCCATGTCTTTGCCAGGGATAGTGCGCTGGATTTTCCATTCGCGCCTGCCTCTGTCCTTCCTAGATCACTAATTACAGGAAAGCCAGGCCAAAGATCACTTGAAGCAGAGGGCTGGACCACAGAAGTGCACCATGATAAGCCCGTGATGATATCCTGGTTCAGTCTTCGCAGTCATTTGCGGCTCCAGACACATGCATGCATGCATGCATGCATGCAAGCAACTGTCAAGACGTAAGCAAATGAACGGGGCTCTACAGCAGCCATACTATCCATGTCTTGGAGCACAGCACTGGACTTACACGCTTCACAGCCGCGACTTGAGACTTGCAGCTTCGACATTTCAGGGCAGGGGGTTGCGTACCCGGTCGAGGCAAGGAAGCCGTGTGTTGCTCCGTGAAGCTTGGAGATCCCCCTATCGCCGGCCAGCAGCTATCTGTTCCAGAAGCCCCCGGAACTATCTGAGATCGTGTTAGGCAATGGGCCCGGCAAGCGGTGCCAGGCGGGTCGCAGGAGAAGATTAGATCGATGCCGGCACGTGCACAGTGACAGAGAGGGGCTGTGCTGTTGTTCATTCAGCCGTTTCCTAGTTAGATTTTGACCTAGATTCCTTCATGATCCTTCATGGCTGCAGCAGTACCTTCGATCAATAGAGGCTCATGCGAAAGGAGCACCATGAATAGGTTCTAGAAGCAGGTATCCAGCGGAGGACCGGCCACCCTGACGGCCCTTGATTGAGGGGACTTGAGTGGATTGTAGCGAAATATCATATTCCCCCCACCGCCAGAAACTCATCCGAAGCCCAAATCAGTTTTAAGAATCAGCTGACATGCTGATGAAATGGCTGGCGCTGCTGGGCGCATTTGCGCAAGGCTTGGCCGTAGCCTATAGGGAGCTTGGCCACAAGTGGAAGCACATCCAAGAAAACCCCTTCGGTGACGGCTTCCGCGCAGGTGCCTGGCAGCAGGCCAGAAATGCTGAGCTCTGGGAGTGCACGGGAGAGTGCTAGAGGCTGCACGACATTGGAGGAGCTTCCGTCGTTGCCCTTGCAGACAAGCGGTCGCCGGGACCCGGGACCCATGTGCTGTCTCAGCTTTTCCAGTGTGCAAGATATTGCAAGCGCAGACTGGCCCCTCAGCTGCAGGCTACATTGTTGATTCACAAGGCCGGCGTGTGCGGCTTCACTGTGTCAACTGGCCCGGGACTTGGATAAATTCAGGATGTGGCAGGTGGCATGCTGTCGTGTACTGAGATGTGCAAGGTATGGTGCACACCTGCCGCAGCTGGCGGCCAATGGACTCAACCGTCAGACAGCAGGACTGCGTTGAGCTGTACTCTATCTAAGTGGTCTTGGTCCATGTACGGCAGGAGAGATCGCACGCACCATTGTAGCTTCGGGCTTCAATTGTGTGCAGCTTACCACTTTGGCTTCCGACTTGGAGCTGCGAGTCGAGTCTGCATGGCACTGGAGGTGTCCGGCTGCCATTCAGTTTGGATGGCGTTGTCGGCAACATCTCCCGTCTCCCCAACCCCGAGGTGCAGGGGGCAGGTAAACTTCTGAAAGAGGGGTCATAGGAGTGGCACAAGGTTCCTTCATGTTCTTGTTGACTCGATGCATGCAGGCGGCAGCAGCTGTTGTCTTTCAACATCTTTCAATCGTAGCTTGCCTTTGCAGAACATCTCAGCGGCACAGCCAGCAGGTGTCCCTGGCGGCGAATCCCGCGATCCAGGACCCTTTAGGGTGCACACGCAGAGAAGGCATCGTGATGTCATCTGATGCTATGATGCTCGCGCAGGACGTCTCTCCTTTGGAGGCCGCGAAGAAGTAATTAACGGGCCCTTGAAGCTGCGACCGGGTCGGGCGGACGCCGGGGCAAGTCGCTGGCATATTCTCGTTCTCCTGAAAGCCTCATGATCCTTAGGACTTAGGCCAAGGCGATTGCAGCAGGTCGAGGAGCATCAGCTAGCTTCTGCTCTTTCTGCTGCACAGCGACCTTTCCCGATTGCAGCTCTTCGATGTGACGGTGCATGAGCTGACGGCCAACGGGCTAATGGTGGCCATGGCAGCACTTTCAGCTGGCAGTCCATCAGCTTTACGCATGCAGATTTTAAACTTAGGTCATCCTCAACAACCATGTATCAACAAGCATGTGGCTCCGGACTTAGAATGTGCCATGCTGTGGTGGATGGGATAGCCCTCCTTGTCACTGCTTCACTCTTCAGCCCAAGGTGCTGCAGCACCACGGACCAAGAAGGTCTGTGGTACACTTCAGCTTATCCCGAGTCGGCATGGCTGCATGCTCTGGGCCGGAGCCTGTCTCAGCAACATGACTTGCGAATTCCTCGCAATCAGTTCAGGTTTGATGACTTCCCGTTACAAGGACAACCCACTTGCGGAAGCCTCGGACTTCGTTGCTGACGGTCCGGCCTTGCACTCCTGTCGGGCATCGCCTCAGGTAGTCGGCTTCGATCTTCGCAACGAGATACGGCCATCAGGCATGGTGCTTGAAAGGGGCGGAGGATGGCGGAGGTTTCGAAGCACGCCTGAAGACAGGCCTCAAAGCTAAAGGAACGGTGTTGGGAGAACTCTGCGAAAATTCGGCGAGTGGCAAAGCAGTGCTTCGGGCAGTGACAGGCTTTGCCTGGCCTGGATGGCACACGAACGATGCTCGGACCGACTGGCCCGGCCTTCAGTCACTTCAGTCACCTCCTTGTGTGTTGAGCTTTTCTTGAGTGGCCCACGTCTTCACATGACGAAAGTGCAGCTTCAGGGCAGCAGCTTCGGTGAGAGGTGCACGCCGGGTTCTGGATGCCAACGTCGAGGCCTTGGTTCATAGATGTTCATAGCCAGTCGTGCCGCGGTTTTCAGACACCGGGGCTGCACCCAGGAAAACATGCTGATCATCATCTCTGGTGTGTATTTTGGTCTGTTCCTTTGCCAGGCAGGATTTGCAGGGCTTGCGACACTGATTCCCAGGGCTTTGTTCGACACAGCAGGTTCCTACATATCCTGTGCACACAGAGGCACTGGACAAATGCAATGCTTGGCGCATGACGTGTCTCGGCAATTGCAGACAGGTTCCGTTTCTGCGCGGCCGCGTTGTTTACACAGCCCACGAGTGACCCGATACATGTACTTGTGACTCCTTCCACTGATTGGAAAATGTTCTTTTGCCTCGTGTCTGCAGGTACAATTGGTTTAACTTCCATTTCCTGGCAAGGGAGATTATCCAGTGCATGTCTTAGAACGATGGAAGTGTGAGTTGTACTGACATTTCCTTGGCCTAGTCATCCTAGTTGCAAGCGCGGAAGGATCTACTGCTTAGTCCTCGCCGTCGTTTTTGTGGCAAGCTGGCCGGGTGCTTGGAATTTCGCGTGTCCCCAATAAACAAGGCAGCAAAAGAGCGTAAGAGTCATACCAACAGAACTGCATGCAAGCACCGAGCCAGACATCTCGCAGGCCTTGGGTTCTTGTCGCAAGCCGAGGCTTCTCAGTGCCCTGGTTCGCCGCGGACGTGGGAGCCCAAGCGGCAAGATCCGCCAGGGTCACCTGAAGATGTTGCAAATGTATGCAGAAGTTGCGCGTTTTAAACACTGTTTTAAACTGCACATGACATGACATCACATGACATGGTCAGGGGATGTCAGGCAAGACAGTTTGTCTGAGGTCGGAGCCCAAACCCTGCAACACAGCGGATCCTACGGTACTTCTACTACATCGCTGGATGCACGCGATGCCGCTGCCGCAGCATGCGTGCCGATGAACAGATGGTAGCAGAATCTTGGGCGGACGGTGGAGTTGCATTGTCATAGTCCTATCGCGTGTCCACATCGTGTCGGATTGCCTAGGAGCAGTTGGAGATCTTTTGTGATCCTCAAATACCAAGCCCAAGGACGGAAACAGTAGAAGATGCGGCTTGGAGTTCACCGTTGCGGCGCTTCTGACAGCATTGTGTGCTCTGTGCCTCAAAGTCGTGCCGCTATTTGTTCACACCTGTGCATTCGATGGCTTTATGGCGGCCACACTGTGTGCGGTGTTTGCACCAACTCTGGCACTGGTAAGCTTGGTTCTGTGGATCAGAGCTGCGTTTTTGGCCTTCACGCAGCATCTGGAGCCAGCGGACTTGCGAACTCTGCGTCCGAGCAGGCCCACATTGCCTTTACCGGAGAACGAAGAGCCCGTCCCATCTGAGCCGTACCAGCGCAGCTGTACCACAACCTGGCATGTAAAACAGTGCCGCTCACCGTGCTGCGTACTGCTGCTTGTGGCCTGTGTCGCATTTTCTGGCCTCTCAGCCATCTGGGTGGAGTTCGGTTCCTACGAGGCCTTCGAACGAGAGCTGGACTTCAAGTGGGGCTTCCTTTTGTCCGGCTCTGCCGCCGCTCCTGTCTGGCTCGGGGAGTTCGGAACAAACACAGAGTCCTTGTGGTGGGAGCACATGCTGAGATACTTGCAGAAGCGTGATCTGGATTTTGCATACTGGAGCGTCAATGGTGAGAAGTTCAACGGCGAGCCTGAGCTGCTTGACACAATACATTCGAGCTTTGTCTGTGATGTTCGGTCCTCACCCCAGTGCTCCACCCTCTGCTCAGCTGGAGGTCTTTCGGGCTCTTCATGGAGAATTTCATAGACGTTAAGCAGCCGTGGAAGCTTCAGCAGCTGCAGGCCACTATGAAGATGCAGATTGGGCCAGAGCTCAGTAGCAGCTTGTCGTGAGGTTTCCTTTTGTGTCCGTCCTATTTTGTAGATATGACGCGGGAATAGAAAGCTCGATGAAAACTTCGGCTTTCTGAGAGAGCAGAGCCCGACAAGATGCCACCAAAGATCAAACTTTCTTACCGAGACTCAAGACGAGTGTGCGGACGTCATATCAGAAAACTCAAGCGAGTTCTTGGCCATCCTGGCATGCCCTGCTCTTTGTACATAGCTTCTCAGCATGGCGTTTTCAGTAGCGGCTACGCCGTGGTGAGGAGCCCCGAGCTCCAGCTTTCCTAAGGGCCTTAAGCTTGCTGCTTTTTGCACTGCCTGCAACTTCGGTGTTGCTGCTTGTCAGGGAAGTCTTGACGGGCTGCCCGCAGCTTGTTCTGTGCTCGAAACGACGTCGCCGAAGCCCTCTTGTTATGCGCTCTACTGTAATCTACTTCGTAGGCTCTCTCAAGGAGCAGCAGCAGTTCCAAGCCCCGACAGTATGTGATTTGTAACCTGCTTGGGCATGGTCTCACACCAGTCTTCGCAGCCACAGCAGCAATATCTAGAATCTAGACCCAGACACGCAGGGCTCCAACAGCTCCTTCCTGCCCGCATGTGACTTGATGTGCACGTCCTGCGATGCTTTGTGCTTGCTGAGCCCCTCGCAGACATGGTGAGGCAAGCGAGGCACAACAACGGCTCTTTTGCAGATTCAGATGAGCCTTTCCCTTCGCTACGGACTTCCAGGATGACTGCCGTGGATGCAGTGATCTTGCAGCTCGACGACGACTAAGGGCTTAGGGGTTTAGGGTTTAGGGGTTTAGGGTTAAAGGAAACAACAGGTGGGGAGTTTGGGGTATAGAGTTGCAAGATCAAGAGGGACAGTGCTTTGTTGTTCGCAGGCTGCTGCAGCTCGGCATCAACATGGCAATGGTGGATGAGTCAGGCGACAAAGCGACAACTGCATGGGAATCCGGTAACTACAGTCTGAAGTAATTGTTCATCAATGCTCAGAGTGTTTATGGTAGGTATCGCTGAGGAGGCATAATATCCGTTTGCTTCAATGAAATTGGTTTGGGAAGGCTTTCCTGGGCCTGTCGCACCGTCTGTAAACCTTCATCATCCTTATGTCGAGGCACAGGCAAGTCAGATTTGGTGTCGGCTAGATGCCGCTAGGTCGTTATCATGCTGGATCGGGGATGCCAGATCTGCTGCCACCCGAATCTCAGCTTAATTTAGTTGTTTGTGGATGCTATGACTGCTGATTAGCTGCAGCAGAGGAGCCATCGGACACGGACAAAGCTGCCGCCATCGATCTGAACAAGCAGCCAGCAGCATGGCTTGCAAGAAGCTCTGTGTGATCGGAGCATTGTGGAACCGGCTTTATGAAACGCAGCAACTGTCCACTACAAACACAACATTTGCATGTCCCACAGAGGTTGAAAAAGTCTTCCGGCTGCTTTACTTTGAGCTGACCAAGTTGGACAGATGAAAAGCCGCTTTTGTCGTAGCTACCGGCATCCTATCCTACCTGCTCTTTCGGCAGGACAAGCAACCGCCAGAGCGAAGACTACACTTGCAGGAGTTTAACCTCCTGGCCAAGGCTCGGACCCGGAATCCCTCGTTGCAGAATGTTGCGCGTTTCAGCTCAGGAGCTGGACTGCCCCCAACGCCTTGTGGCCATGTCCCAGGACAGCTCTGTGGTCTACTGCGGTAACAGATTTACGTCTGTAAGGGTGCACCTGATAGTAGTTGCAGTTTCGGCCAGCGGAAAGGTTTGGGCAGCTGGTGTCGATCCATCAGGCATGCACAGCATGCTGCCTCCAGTGCATGAGTTCTATAACACACCGGTTCCCATATAATCCCATTTAGACAGTCGGCAACCACCCACGCGAAGTTTGCAAACCTCTGTCAGCCCTTCCTTGGGATGAATGGATAGACGAGACGAAATCGTTTTGATGTGGGCCGTAGCTGTCTTGCGTGACGAATTGACGACGGGACCTGTTAGGAGTCCAAAGACCTGGCGGATAATATCAACAGCCTGCACTTGAACGCAACAGGCTGTAATGGCTGCGTCATGAGACCACTGTCTCGCTTGTGGGCCCCGAGCTTTCGCTGCAGGCACGTCTGGATTGTACTGGACTCTGCACAAGTATCCCGAGGCAGGAGGATGTGTTGACGCATCCGTGCATGGTGCAGTTGTCCCAGGAGCACAGCTGGGCCTGGCTTCTCAGCCAGACTCAGGACCGTGTGATGCGGAAGGCATGGCTTTGGCGACGACATCGCCACGCAACACAGTCGTAGTGCTCGGAGTGCCAGATAGGTCTGGCAATACTTTGTTCGCTTGCAGACGCTGACAGTCTCGGCCCTAGCCGGCGCCTGCGGTGGTTCTGGTCTGCATTGATTTTGGCAAGAGGTTCCGGACGACAAGAACTGCATGTCTGCCGCCATGCGCACCATCCTCATGCAGTCCATCATCACTTGGAAGAGGATGCTCAGAGCCGGGCTCAGCTCGCTTCGCTCTTTTGCTTTCTGCAGTTGCAACGTGCGTTCACCCGCCTCTCTAAGGTGACCATGCGGCATTGCTATGGAACAGTGTCGCTTTTGGCATTCTGGGAGACGCCGCTTCGCTGGGAGAACTCTACTTCGATGGCACCAGTCTTCTGCCAGTGTTGGCCTGTTGGCCTAGGTCACTTCATGGCGAGAGCTCGACGAGGACGGTCAGGCAAGAGCGGACCGATGCTTCCAAAGTAGATCAAGCGTGTCTGTGAAGCAAGGGCTGTCCCTCTTTGTGGCTGCCGTAGTGACGTAGTGAGAGCCTTGCTTCAAGGGGCTTCCATTAAAGTCCAGTCTTTCGCATCTCTGTTCTCCTGACGATTGCAAGCGCATGGTCGTCGTCCCGAAGCAAAACGGTAGACTTTTGTCATCAAGCCTTCTGGAAAAATCAGATGCTGGGGTGGCGGTCGAGCAGCAGCATGCAAGATGCATTCAGGGACCCCCTGGCACACCAGGGGTGGACTGCGGGGTGCATTCTGGCGAGTGTGGAGGCTGAATGTTAAATGGAACTAGAAACCACCAGTCTCCGGACCGAACCGTGGCGAATACATTCCGGTGGCCCTCCATGGGGGAGTTGCAACAGCAAGTTCGGATGAAACCACCAAGACGTCCCTAAACCTGTTTTTTGATGTTTTTTTACAGGCTGCGCCTGTCATGGTACCTCGCCGATTGTTTGAGGTCTTCGCTGCAAGCTGTACGGTCTTTCCACGACTTGTGCAGACAGGGCGCGTGATCTCACATGTGACGAACTGTATGGCCGCTTCACAAAACGGCCTTGGGCATCACTGCATGCACTCGCACTTGGCACGGAGTCAGAGCGCGGCCCTTGCAAAGTGCTTGCAGTTCCATCAGAGGTGAGGACGCGAAGGCTGAAGGGCTCCGCATGCGCAGTAGTGCCGGGCATGTCCCGGTGCAAAGTCGCCCCCTGGCGTTGAAGTGCCAGTTGCTCGCACCAGCCGCCATCGAAGCCAGGGCCAGGTTCTTGATGTTACCTGCCTCGAAGACCAGCTTGTGTCCAGCGAACTCGTACTTAGCGCTGGGCTCAGGGGCCGGAAGAATCACTGTGCGGACCTTTCGGGCGAACAGTTCGCCTTTTTTCAGAGCTTCGCCTACTCGTAGCTGCATAGTTACAGGGCTAGCACATCTGGCCGTTGAGCATTTGGTTGAAGTTGAAGGTCTCAGAGCACCACAGGACCGCGTGCATGTGGAAATGTGGAAAGCACCCGGTAATTCGTAGACTGCCCAAGGCGCAGCAGGGCTCAAAACGAAAACATCACGAGTGTGAGAGGATGTGAGAGGCTCGGTGTGTTTCTTGTATCGTGCGAGGCGACCATCTCAGAGAGTCTGAGAACCCGTGGCGCATTCTCGCAAGATTGAATTTCAAGCAATGCTCAAAAACATGTAAGACAGGACCGCAATGTTCAGATTGCCTGTGAATTTTCAGGTGTTGGCTTGCTTTCACAGCTCCTTTGTTTGTTCGTGTCGAGTCCGACTGCCTTTGAAGGCTGCAAACGAGCCAGGAGGTCCCCCTCCCAACGTCAGCTGGTGGGCAACCTCAGATGCCTCTCTGCGCGACAGCTTAAATCACCCTTCGGTATCTGAATGGAGTCGGACAGGTCAGAAAACCTCATCTTCGGCAACATGTATCTTTCTTCCGTGCACAAGTTCATGGACTTCCACGCGTCAGCAGCCCAAATGTCCGAGAAAAATGCGCTGTGGCCACCCCTTCAGAGCGCCAAACCGCTCTGCAAACTTAGGAAGGAAGTGGAAGCCCAGCTACTCCAGGAGCTCATGTTGGTACGCAAAGCGGAGGAGCTAAATATGAGGTATGCTGGAATCCCAGTGCATCCCAGAGCAGTCCACGGCTCCTCATCTGGTTCACGCAGCGATCGTCTTATATCCTGAGGACTTCAGTGCTGGCGAAGAGCATCGAGTCAGCAAGGATGGTGCGACCCCCATCCTCTCCTTCCTCTGCCTTCTGACTCTTCGGATTTCGGCAGCACGCCGTGGCAAGGCGTTTATTCGTCTTTCGAATACCTCCGCCGTCAGAGCTTCAATGAGTGGCCCGTGGACAAGGCCATAATTTGTGCAGATGTGCATGCGACCACAATTCGGTTGGCATGATGCCCCGCGTGCAGGGCCTCTTGCGTGGGCTTTTGCGACACATCCTGAAACCCCGCTACGGTCAGCCGTTGGAGCGCGAGGGTCAAGGAATGCTATGGCATGAAGCCCAGGTACTGCTCCCCGTGTGTCCGTGGGCGACTTCGGAGCTGGGGGTGGGCTGGGCCCCTGGGCCCATGGTCATGCCAACATGGCGTCACAATGGCATCACATCTCCATCCTGGTCTGCTGAGGCAGTACAGCCTGTGGCTGAACGACACAGGGCTGGTTGAGGCGGATCCGGGTACGATCTGTAAGGCGTCACAGTTCACGACGGCGCTCTGGTGAAGGCTTTAGCTCTGGATGCCACGGAAGCCGTGTCCAACATCACAGGTGGCTCGGTTTCACAGGCCCGACCGTGCTGACATTCGGTGATGCTCTGCTGGCTGCACCGCTATGCTGTTGCACGCACAGGTGGACTTGACGAAAGCTTCACTTGACTTGGCACGCCGCTTCGACACTGACTCAGCATCCATGCCAACCGTTCCTAGCGTCCGCATGAAGCCTAAGCCGCCTTGATGCAAGCGCTTCTTGTTTGTGGAGCTGGGCCAGAACAGCGACCTCAGGACTGGATCCTCTGCCTCGATGTGGTCTCATTGCTTCCGGAGGGAAAGGCAGACAAGCGGAAAGTCACGACTCATCTAAGTGAGTGCACGAGTTATTTTTCAATGGGCATCCCCTTGAGAGAGAGGTGGTGCCGCTGCTGCAGAACATTGGCCGGCCCGAACCTGAGTGTCACCACACTTCACCACGCTCCTGCGGTGCAACGGGGTCTTTTCAAGGCACTTGGGGCACGGAGGCATCGTTCTCTCATGGGTTCTGCGCCAAGCCTCTTGAGGAAAGAAGGATTCTTTGTTTTTGGGTTGCGCTAAGCATTCGGTGTGCGTATCTCAGGGGCCAGGGGCTGACGAGAAAAAGCCGCCGGAAAAGGACTTGACTTTGGCGATTTGGAGGGTCGTTCATCGATAACCTCGTGACGATGTTCTCCAGAAGCGACTGGGTGCACCAAATGCAGTGCACGGAAGGACCGTATCAAGCTGGTGGAGAGGGAGGTTTGCTGCTCATCATGAGTCGTGAGTGCTCTGATTTCTGTCAGTGTGTCGTGCAACCGCTGATTTATGCTCGATTGCTAGATGCAGGCACTTGTCACCTTCGACCCAGATGCAACGAGCAAGTTGAAGTCTGGGTGCGAAATGCCGCACGCTCATGGAATCGATGGCTCGAAATGACTGGCTAAAACCCGCACGAGCCTCGCGAGGCAGAGCTTCGTCAATGACCTCATGGTCTTTCGCGTCCCATCCACTCAGCTGATCCCAGCTCTGATTCGAGCTCACATACAACAACAGCTCAACACATGCATCCGTGGTGTGGGTTTCTCCTTGCGGCCCCAAGGCCAAGGTTTGAGAGGCCAGCTCCCGGGCAGAGGTGCGCTGCGCCGGACTCGGGCCCTTTTGCTACTTGGGTCCGGGGCTCCAGGACCGCTCGGATCGCGCGACTGGAGCTCCAGAAGGCTCAGAAGAAAAGGTGTGGGGAACCATGGGGAACCCCAGCTGAGCTGTTCACTGCCACATCGTCAAGAGTCTGCACAGGCCGAGGACCTGGAGATCGAGGAAGATGCAGAAGTGAGGCTACCGACCGGCCGCCACGGCGTAGACTCCTAGACCGCTGGTAGCAGCTCCTCAGCGACGATCGGCGACTTGAAGAACGCTGCCAGCATTTTGTTGCGACGTCTTTCGCACATCAGTGTGCTTCTAGAGGCTTTCTGACCCGCCGCCCCAGCAGGCTCACGCGAGGTACAGTTGTCAGGCGCATGCCGGATGTAGAACAAGATGCCGGCGGGATGTCGTCACAAAGTCAAAGTCGAGCAGAGGTCATCGCTTCTCACAGCATTGTCTGTGTCTGAGATGCACGCACGTTGACGGCGCGGCCAGACGAACCATATTCGCTGCATCAAGTCTTGCGCTGCCTAGCCTTGTGGCGAGATTCTCGTGGCGGACACGCCTTGGTTGCAGCTGCCATGTTCGACTTAGCTCAGGCAGTGGAGGCCTTCAGGCACAGAAAGCTGGTCCAAGCTGGATCACGCTCACTAGCCTCATCAAATCCTGCAGTGCAGAACAGTGGCAGCAGATTTTGAGTTTGCTGCAGAAGCTTCCGAGGGACAAAAAGAATGTAGTACCATATACCGTGGCTGTGTCCAAATTGACGCGTGCAGATTTTTGGCAAATGGCTTTGGGCTTGCACTTGGACATGCGACTACAGCGCGTTGCTGACGTGGGATCCTATGCTGCACTGCTGACCGCGTGCCGCAGCGGCACCGCCTGGCAGACATCTTTGGTGCTGTTACAAGAAGCTTACTCTGTGCAGCTGCAGCCCGACACCGATACCACCAGCTCCAGTGCAGTGATTTCAGCGTTGACTCGGGCAACGCAGGTATCCAAGGCACTGATGGCACGGCATTTAGCATCGGAGACACCGAACTTTAATGCAATCATCATGTCACTTCGCCATGTTCAAGCATCCTGGGTGCATGCCTTCCATGTTTTGGAGGACATGAAGAGGCGGCAGATTTCCAGCGACATGGGCACGCTAAAAGCGGCTTTGAGCATCTGTGGCAAAAGCCGCCCCGAGCTGGTTCCGGAGATATCCAGACAGCTGCAGATCCAGCCCGACATACTTGCAGTGAACATGATCGTGGGCTCCATGGAGAAGTGCCACAGCTGGCAATCGGCCTTGCGCGAGCTTCGGCTCGTCGGCCAATCGAGACTAAGGGCAGAGTTGACCACCTACAATAGCGTGATCAGCGCGTGCAGTAAGGCCTCGAGGTGGTCCTGGGCACTGCACTTAGCAGCTGTGATGGGCTCTTCAGCTCTCGAGCCAGACGAGATCACCTCCGGCAGCCTGATCACTGCCTGCTCCTCGCAGGGCCGCTGGCTCCTAGCGTTGCAGCTGCTCCATTCCTCAACACATGAAAGACCCAATCTGATTGCAACTCATTCTGCAATCACAGCATGTGAGAAGGCGGGAAGATGGATGTGGTCGCTCCACTTGTTCAGGGATGCCTTGGCAAGCAGACTCACGCCAGACCTCAGCCTACTGGGAGCGGTCCTGTCCAGCTTCGAAAAAGGACAGCAGTGGGCACGAGCCTTGCTGCTCTTGAGCCAGATGAGCCAGGAAGGCTTCTCTCCAGACATTCCTCTCATTACGTCAGCAATCAGCGCGTGCGCGAAAGCGCATTGCTGGGAGATGACGCTCCTCCTCACCTATGAGGCCGGTCTGCTGCCCACGCATACTATCCATGTTGCTTCTAGGAATCTGGAGTTTGAAACTGCCTTGTAAGCGCCGGTACGCTCGGCAGTTTCTATGACACTGCCACTTAGCAACATGGCTTCGGGAGTCAGGTAGAGCAACCTGAAGTCGAACGAGAGTCTCCGGCATGTCAATATCAGATAAAATGGACCGGCCCAGAGAAATTAAGCCACCGCTATTGGCCAAGTACCCAGGGTATGGCTGCTCGTTCCCTGTGTCCATCAGCGATCTCGGCTCAAGATGATCCGAGACACCCTGAGCCAATGAGCCATGATTGTCAGAGGGAGTGCCAAGGCTCGAGATGAAAACAAGGCTAGAGGCGGCCAGAAAAGGTTTAAGTTTGATTGCTCAAACTTCCGCTGGTAGGTGATGGCAATGAGGATGAAGACAGTTTGCCAGCAGAGCTTGGCCCAAGCCGTCTGGTGGGTGGCTTGATTATACGCGGAAACAAGTGTGTGCTCATCCGGTCCCTTTCTGGAGAGTGGGAGGGTATGCGACTGCCTTGGGGCGCTTCAAACATCGAGCCTAGCTCACGAGCAGCGGTCCAGATCGCATCCGACTTGTGCGAGATCGAGGAGGAGGAGGTGACAACCCTGGAGATTGCACCCGTCACTATTGCTGTCCCTGACATGCCAATTCTGCTGCACGCCCTGTATGCCGCGAACCCCCCACCGGCTGGCTCTGCAGCCGATTCTGACTGTGAAGATCCAGAGGACGTGTATGACTGGCGCTTCGGCGAAGCAGTGGCAGGTTCAAAAACGTTGCAAGCAGGACCACGCCTGTGGTGTGTGAGGTAATGAACATAAATGAAACCTTCCATGGTAGGCCTGTTGTTCAACGAGCGCTTTGGGCATCGTGCCGAATGACCGTGAGACAGGGTTAGAAGCTAAACTCGGTCTCTCACTTCTGAGGTACACGTTTCCACGGGCGATGAGTGCACTGGCGAAGGATCCCTATGCCCGTGCTGCGTTGGCCACCATGGCATTCGCTTTGGCAGCCGGAACGCTTGGAGGACGGTGCGTTGAAAGGCAATCCAACGTGTAGCTACAACGACCAGCTGCTACCAGTAGCTCGGGGTTTGACGGTAAGCATCTGGAGCACCGTTCTGCTTCATATGAGGCGGCAGCCAGCTGCATGTTTTGTTTTTTTCCAGAGGCCACGTCTTCATGGTAGTAAAGGGCTTCGGCGACTCCACTCGTAAATCTTCCTTCTCGTTACGGCAGGCTTGGTACCAAAGAAGTGGGGCGGCATCTTTGGCCAGGCGCTCTTGCACATCAGTCGGTTCATGAAGGGTTTAGGGCCCGCATGTCCTTCAAGGAGTGGGTGACGCCAGCCTTGCAGCTGCTTCCAGGCCCAGGTCCCCGGGCCTCCGGGCCAGTCTCTCTTGCCGCCGCCTCGGGGCCGGGGCCTCGCCTTCTTTGCGAGTCTCGCTGAAGGCTTGGAGCTCGAAGCCGAAGCTTCTGAGACTCGACTGCACAGCGAGCCGACGTGCCAAGCAGATACCGTTGCACAACAATGCATGGCTACTGCAAAGCTGTTTTCGTTTGAAGCCTTGGCTTAGTCCTTGTCCGAGTTGGAAGCCAGAGCGCTGAGGAGGCTGCGGGCAGCTCTGTGACTGCAGGCCGGTGGAGCTCGCATGAGAGCTGACAAGAGACCCCTGGGGACTGTGCCCTTGAAAGTACTTGGACCAGTAGCAATGCTCTCTGCCCCAGGTGCAGTGAGCCGCAAGCGAAAGATGGACGACGCAGAGAAGCAAGATGCTGATGCTGCAGAATCGTAGCAAGCATTTCTGATGGCCTGGTTCTACCCAGCCTATTTGCTGTGCAATCACGCAGGCGGTCTAAGCCTAAACACAGCATCTCAGCGGCGGCAGTCAGAGAACAAAAAGCGGGCTGCATTTAGAGCTGGTGGGCTGATTCCTGCTATACCCACTACAAGACAGGAAGGTGTTGTTTACTCTTCTGGATTTGGGGGCTCGCTTGTTGGAGCTGCTAGCTCCTGTTCTGCACACCCTGCTGCACTTAGCACTTCACAGGCTCTCCAAACCAAACGAACCCAAAGCGAATTGGCTGTCCATGCAGAGACCGCTTCATTATATGCATGCGCCTCCAATGCAAACTGCAGACGCTTAATCAATCCGGCACATCTGGAGCATGAGATTCAAGAATGTGCCCCCTGCAGGCGATGTCTGAGTGGAATCTCGCGCCAAACGAGGCCGGTACACTTCGATGCGACTCCGGGAGCTTTTTTCCATGGTCTTAGGCGACCGCAGGAGCGGCCCTGTCGTCCTTGGCAGAAAGTCCGGCGCTGGCTGAGATCGGGGCGGTGACTTTGCTGCGTTTTGTTCTCACTAAGGGCGCTCTTGGCAGCTCGCAGAGTCTATCTTAGAAGCTTGGCAAAACCTGCTTGACGCACGATTGCACAATGTGAGCAATGCTTCATCGGAGCAGTCTAAACCGCTGAGACAGGAGAGGCTGCGTTGCCAGCGCCTGCCTCAGTGCAAGTTCAGCCTGGAGCCTGTGGCTGCAATGCGACGGTCACTGCCTCAAAGAGTCGAGGAACCTTTCAGTCCTTGTTTCGCGTGGGTACGAGTCCTTTGTAGGTGCTATGAAAGAGCTCTCAAGAGACCGACTCTCACTAGCCGACCCGGCGAAGGCCGGAGAGTTTTTGAGACAGCGGTCAGCTTCCCGGTGTAGGGAGGGATACGGGTTCTTAAACAGAGTTATATCAGGATCAAAAGAAATTAACCCACAATTTGTGTGAAATGCCTATTTAAAACCTATTCCAATCCTGTTGAAAGTCTAGAGAAGGAGGGCAAGAAAGAAAGAAAGAAAGAGCGAACCAAACAAATAAAAGAAAGAATGACAGGAATAAAGACAGAAAGAAAGAAAGAAATAACGAAAGAACGAAAGAACAAAAGAAAGAAAGAAAGACAGAAGAAGGGAAGAAAGGAACAGCGAAAGAAATACGAAAAAGAGAACAAGCCCCCCTTTTAACTCTTAAGTATGTTTTAAATTTTTCCCACTGTACAACCCCCGCTCCGCTTCTTTTTAGATGCCTGCCCCCCGCTTTTTTAAAGGTCTTTCCCGCTTTTCAAGCTCGCTTCAAAGAACACACCGGTCGTACGCGCATTGTGTTTGCAAATGGGTGGGGGGGCTCTTCAAAGTATGCGAGTCCCTGCCAAACCCATGCTGCGAGCATTGCCATTGCGTTTGCAAATGCAGGGGGGGGGGGGGCTGCCCCACCCCCAACCAACCCCCCCGCTTTTTTAAAGCCGAGCAAAGCTTGCTTCAAAGCATACGAGTCCCTTCCAAACCCATGATGCGAGCATTGTCTTTGCAAATGGGGGGGGCTGCGCCCCCCCCCCCCCAACCCCCCCGCTTTATTTTTTGTTGATCCTTATTTCGTGGATCCTAATTTTGTGAGGTATTCGTATTTTGCCTAGGATGTTAATATTTAATATTTTTTGATCCTTAATTCTATTTTTTTCCATTCTGAGGCTTAATTTTGTTTGATCCTTATTTAATTTGTTTTTGATCCCTCACCCCCGTGTAGTGACATGTTCGTGAACTGTGCGACGCACGCACACACACACACGCACACGAGCGCACATATGTCCTGGGCAGACAGCTGCAGCTCTCCGCTAAGCCCAAGCTCTCCGGCATTCAACAGAGAGCACCTGCAGGCACCTCACAATCGTTCAGGATAGAGACTTCCCATGCCGCTCCCATGCCACGCACACACTCCCTCCGCTCTGCGCATGTCTGCTTAGTGCAGCAGCGAAACTTGATGCTCCCGGCATGCCGCTTGGAGCTCTCCTACCTTTCGCTGCCGTGCCACCCAAGCCCATTGTCGCGAAACTTCCTGACCGTTATCCGCGAGTGGATCTTCGTGGTCCTTGCTTTTCGAAGGTTCGAACCTTTGGTGCGTTCTTGGAGTGCTTCTACTGTTCGTCTTTGGGTCTTTGCATTCTGTCACCAGTCGGGCATGGTCTATCTGCCAAAGGCACACTGGTCACTCGATACATTGCGGAGGCAATCGCCGTGTCAGAGTGCTGCTCATGATGAGCATTCTACAGCATGCTGTTGCGCAGGATCTGGTCGATTTGCGAGACCTGCCACCACAGCTTGCACGTGCTGCAATGTGCAGGAGTCTCAGAAGCCTTCGAACCGCTTTAAGTTCTTCTTCGATCCTGCAATTTTTACTCCTTTTCCTAGCAATAACATAGCAATTCGGTGCATGATGTCAATCGGAAACGATCAGCTGCTCTTCGCTCTTCACGGCTTTCTGTAAAAACCTGGCTCGACAGCAAAGGCGATTCTTTCTCCCAAGCTCTGCTCGCTGGTTCAGAACGCCATACCACGCGTGAAATCATGAGGCCGGAGCGCTGCATTGCTTGTACCAAGTCTTCTTCGCTGATGTTTTGTTGTCAGACTGAGATCTCGGGTGAGCACGGTAGAGCAGACAAGCTGTTGGAAAAGCGAGCGCTCTCAGTACTCTCTCTAGTCCTTTTGTGAGGCAAGCGGAGCAAGCTTTCTACGAAACGGCAGTGGGAACTGCGCAGGCTCTAGTGAAATTGCACTTGCCTAAACACTCGGGAGCGTTCACTCGAGAATGCAGGGCTTGGTAGAGCAGCTCGGTCTGAAGGCTGAGGCGGCTGCATGGATCAATGTATCCAGTTTTCTGTGGCCAACAGGCTGAAGACACTCCGTCAGGTCAGTGGATGTGGCTACTTGGATCGCGACCCAGGAGCTGTCCGGCATGGGCCTTCGCGCATGTTGCATGCACGAGTCCAGCGAAGACGTGTGTGTGTGTGTGTGGGTGGGTGGCTGTTCCCTTCCAGGAGCTACTTCTGAAAGTCGCAATAAGTCGCAGCAAAGATGAAGCTGCTGAGTGGTGAGAAAGGAAAGCTGCATTGCAAGCGAACCGGAACCTTAGCCAATGCTTGCCAGCTGCATGTTGGGATTTGGGCTTCTGCTCTCCTAGAGCTGTTGGCCCGTCGGATGCCCCTCAGCCTGCAGGCTGCAGAACGACAGGAAGCCACATCCGGCTTTTGACGTGCCCGGTGAGGCCTGCAAAGCTTCAAGCGAAACCGGATAAAAAAGTGCCTGATCCTGAAGCTCCTTGCATCCAGGCAGATCTGGTTGGCAGGATTTGCGAGATCCTGGCCTTCCACCCAATCGAGGATGCGATCTCAGCGGCGGCTGCTCGTTTCTTTCTGAAATACCTCGATACGGGTCTCGCTCCCAAGGTCAACAACCTCTCTTCTAGATTTGCTACAGTTTTCAACCAGGCCTAGACATAAGAAAAAACAGCTGAGCCGACTCTTTTGTGTAGCCTGCTGGGCAGGTTGTGCGCAACAGTGAGCACACACCTTTTTCTCCAGAGAAGCGAAACGATGGCAGCTTCAAGAAGCCCGATACTCAATGTGACCGGTTTTCTGGACGTGAGATTGTGCCTGGAGAGTCTTCTTCAGGTGGCTGCTGGCTTGTGGCTTCGAGGCTCAGCAAAGCTTTCGCAATGAAATCCCACCTTGTTTTGACTTGCCAAGCAGGTTGGACCTCTTTTTGATCGGAATAAGTCTTTGGTTTACTTGCCGTCGCCGCGCGGATCCTAGCCTGAAAGCATGCATCAGACTACGTCGCGGCCACGCTTCGGATAACCAGCAATCCTGCTCTGCTGTAGGCGGCCAAAAGCCTCGCAAGGGGACATCTCTCAACCAAGGCCCGGTCTGCGAAGAGACGCCTTGATCATTCGTTCCAACTCTTTCTCTCCCGCCTTCTAGATCAGCTTAGGCGGCGTTTCCACTGCATCGGAGGACAAGCAGGCCATGACAGGGACTGATAAGCAAGCAACAAGTTGAAATCACGGGCCAGCCAAGGGAGCTGCCCGCAGTCTTTTCACTGACATTTCCTGGGAGGAGCCCGGGAAGGATGCGACGGCCTTACTGGGATCGCCCATTCCGTCGAGGCGCCGGGGCTCGGGGCCACATGGGGCCACCGCTCAACTCCGCCTGCCTTGGAGGAACAGAAGGCAAGCCTCAACCGCCGGCCGCTGGGATGAATTTCTTGGCCTTGCGCTCCCTGCATTCCCGGCTGCCTGCTCCAACCCGCTTTTCTGAAGCAGCCATAACTTTGCATGCATCTTGAGGTGGGAGGTGAAGCGTGGAGATGATGTCCAGCCACAGAACCAGCTGAGTGTGCTGATGGCAGCGGCTTGCTTTCTGGCAGCCGTGTGCTTATGGGCGCACGAAGATGCTTGAGTCACCATGTAAAAGTATTGGTGTGTCGACACTGGAAGGAGTTTGTTGCAAATTATCGATCAATAGACACATCATGCAGTCAGTTGATAAATTGGAATGCTCTGTTACTATCAATGGCAGCTGAAGGAACAAGGCTTGAGTAGGGTGTCAAGATGTGAACGTGTCAGTGTGGCTTTTTGCCTTGAGTCCATGACCTTTTTTTGCACTCGCCCGCCTCGACAAAGGCGCCGACTGTCTCTCCGGACGCCTCGCCTCCAAAGTCGCAGGACTGCCAATATCTCACCACCGAAACGTAGGTGCGTACAGAAGATTAAGTTCAGGTGAGAGCTCAGCTCGAACACGGCCCTTCAAGCATCTTCAAGCGCTGATGCCAACACTCTAGTCATCTCCTGCAATCGTAGGGCATAGGCTCGCTGCGGTTTCGGGCTACCTCGCGGCAACAGAACCACAAGCAACGCTGCACTTGACCCACAAGAGTGCCACCCCGCTATTGCCCCGACAGTAGATCGCAACCTGTTGCGCAAGGCCCGCAATTGTCCGGACACGACACTGACGCACTTGCCCTGGTGGGTCGGGACATGTGCGAGGGTTGGAGGCCAGAGACAGCTGCCAACATCGCTGCCGTTGGACGTGGCTTAAGAATTCAGTCATGCTCGCGGTTGATGCTGCTTGCTCTGTCAGGTTACAACGATTTGTGAAGCACAGATCTAGGGTCCAGAGCAGAGCGCCATGGTAGCTGCCATGGCTCTTCTAACGAATGCGGCAGCGGCCTTGCTCTCACTCGCAGGATCATCATTGGCTTGTCACCGAAGACCGTCCTGCAATTTGCCTGGACATGCCTTTTCTGCGACTGGGCAGGTCCTCTTCCTGTGACCGTCCTATCTCCACCACACTTCGAGATAATCGAATGCGCGACGTGCCTGGCCATGCTGCTCCTGGCCAGGACCTGCAGAGAGTCTAATCGAAGTTGAAAAAAAGCTTCGCTTGATTTGAAGAAAAGGACACCGTTCTCCAGGCAGTGCTTCCTTTGCGGGCTGCTGAGGGTCCTGGCCCTCGGCTCGGGAATCTGGGGAACCTCAGCTGAAGCACCGCAGGTTAAGACTTAGCAAGGCGAGGCTCCCATGCTGAATCCCTCACCGAGACACGCCGCAAAGGTTACAAGTTGCAGCAGAAGCAGAAAACCTGTTGGTGTGGCGACTATGAGTTTGAGGGATCGCCAAAAGCGCCGGCACTTGTAGTGCGGAGCGACACTTCTGCACGTTCTCAGGAAGACAGAGCGCAGCCATTGCCTGAGCTTGCCCTAACTGCTGCCAGTAGCCTTGGTTGAACAGTCGAGACCATGCTGCCTTGAGGCTGCTTTGGTCGGGCTTGCGGATCTTGCTTGGGCACGGGAGCAGCTTTTCGATGATCTCATGAAGAGCAGGTCGCGACAGTCCTGGGTTGTAGGTGCCTGCAAAGCATCGCTCGTTCTGGATGTGAACGCGCGATTGCTGGAAGTCTTGGGTGTAATGCTTGGGCATGGAACCTATGGTTGGTATTGGCTCCCTGGTTGCAGTTGCTGCAGCTCACTGTTTGGATTAACGGTTGCAACGACCCTCAGACTGCTGTTCCATGCAAACAGCTGAGCACAAGAGTGCTAAGCACAAGAGTCGGTAGACGACACGTCTGTCCAGGATACGCTTTGTGCTTGTGGCCATCACCTTGTCTGTGTGGCTGATGGCGAGGGCAAGCCCAACTTACTGCAGCATTATAGTGCTGTCGCTGGCAGCCGTCATACTGGATGTCTATGTACATCCAGGCAGCTGCCGGTATCCGCTCACCAAAGACAGTGCCCTTTTGTCATGCGTAGGTCCACCAGAGACTGGGCACTAGATACAATGAGATTCAGATGCACTGCCCGAACAGAGCATCATTTTCAGTGGCCTTACAATCTTTTGATTCATTTGAGCGGACTATCCATTCTTCCGAAGCTCTTGCCTTGAAGGTCCTTCTCAGCCTTCCGGCCTTCTTTGGTGGATCGCTGCAGCTGATGTAGCTGCTGCCGGCTTTGCTCTCCGTCCGTTGTTTTCAACGGTCCGAGATGGAAGCTAACGTGCAAAGCATCCCACAGCAGTCAATGGGATCTTCGATTATGATGTCACGGAGCCCGGAAAAGCGCAAACCCTATGCGACGACACGAACATGGACACAGCAGTACACGACAACACAGGCCAGCCGACAAAGGCCTGTTCATGTCCGGCTGTTGGACGAGCTGTCAAGGACCTGCGACGATGGGCACCAGCGGAGAGAAAACAAGCTCAAAGCAGCTTTTTCATTTTCGACCGTCATTGATGCGTAAGACTTCGAGGTCAGCAGAGCCCGAACCAGAGCGCTCGGAGTCAGCGCAGGATGATGCGTCCGAGCAGGACATCGGTAGCGTTAGCGCAGCACAAGACTGGCTACAGCAGAATTAGATCAAATTCAGCAGATAATCAGCATTTCGCTCGAACGATGTACATGTCGTGAGGACAGTGCAGGCGCTGGACATGACATTGAACAGGCGCGGACGTCGCACCTTGTTGGCTGTTGGTTCGATCTCTCACAACTCCTGCAGCCGTCAGGACGCAGACATCGATACAGAGCCGGAAGAGGTCCAAGCTCAAAAACGGCGTGAGATTGGAAGCAGTTCAGTTCGCCTCAGCGATTACATTGAAAGCTAGAAATGATGCCTCCCGCTCGTGGATGTTCCGTAGCAGCCACAGACTGCATCAACAGAGCTGCTCAGGCACTGTATTTAGTCGCTGCGGTCTCTGATTTATCTTCGCCAATATTGTAGATCGAAAACCGCAGTTGCTGTTGCTTGTTCCATCCCAGGGCATCGAGTGATGCTGCCGACTTTTTGTGTCCCGGAGCCAGCCAACCAATCAACTTCAATCAACCAGAGAACCGACCGACCAACCCACCCACCCACGCACCCGCCCACCCACCGACCCACCCACTCACCCATCCACCACCAAGTAACGGACCAACCAACCAAAAGAAAACGACCCTGACAAAAGCTTGCGATCGAGATTTTAGAGGCGACTCAATCAAGTTTGATGGGATGAGAAGAGGAGTGATGTGTAGGACTTTGGGAATTTAGGGCAATTTAGGGCAGTGGCATGTACCGGCGTGCGTGGTTGTAGAATTTATTGTAGAACTTGAGCAGCTGCCTGCTCTCAAGACAACAACAGCCCGATTGCGAAGCCGTATTAAGCTGGCAACTTTGAGCAAAGCTTGCTTCAGCTTTCGAGAAGTGAGCGGCTGCACTCAGCTTGTCATGCGCAGGCAAACCCGGAAGAATCGGAAGCAGCCTGGGTGGAGGCGATTGGGTTGAAAGTTCCGGGTATCTGATTGAAAAGGCCACACCTTTTGTAGTCACTTCTTGCAATTGCTTACCAGGTTCGGTCAGCAGTTGAAGAGCTGGACGAGGACGGACATGTCGGTTCATGGACATCGCCCGGCATGTCACATGCAACAAGATGTCACGTAGCAAAGCTGGTACTGTGCCGTCTGAGCCAATGGTGACGGAGCTACTGATGAACATAAGAGCACGCATATACAAGCTTCTGCTCCAGGCAACAAAATGAACCGACGGCCGACCATGCCCAAAAATGTTGCCCAGTGAGGCAGACTTTGTCTTGGTTGGTGACACCAGTGCCACTTGGGAAGAGGTCAGATTTGTGTTGGCTTTCTTTTTCAGCCGGCGATCATTCCTGCATGTCGCAAGAGCTCCTTGGCAAGACCGAGACAGACGCTCAAATCAGCTTTTGGCTCTTAGCCCAAAACAGGCTCTGCCCACAAAATGACTTTCGTGATCTTGCATGGTTTTGTTGGTCCGGCCTTTTCTGTATCATGGGAGCAGATGACATCAGATGTTCTTGGTATTCACGTTTGCAAGCAGCCGGACGCACAACCCCCTCCATCTCGAATCCTGACTGCCCAGCGCACGCTTAAACAATCCCATCATGAGGGAAGGGATGCCATGAACTTCCCTGTTCCGTGGCGATGCCTCCTTCCTCAAGAGGCCCACGGCTCGACACGGTTGCCTGGACGCACTTGCTGCTAGACCTGCAAATCTGAGGCCGTTGACTTCGTTACATACAACAACAACGAAATCTTGGCGAATCTGCAGCCATCTCAGCCCAGCCAGGAGGACATCGTCCTGCAGATTGCTCATTCGCCATCCGCGCTTCAAGGTCTGACAACACCGGAGCATTGATCGATGTCTCCGGCAGCCGAGACACTCCAAGTCGCTTGAGCGACCGGATTGTGACCATCAGTGGGCAGGCGGGCGTGCTAAGTATGTCATGTCAGGCACACTGCATGCAGGACCGCACATATTGGAAATCTTTTCAAGTCCTCTTAGGTTGGCAGCCGGGGAAGGTTGAAACGAAAGCTATCTCCACCTCGTGCCAGTGCTAGTATCTGTCTCTGAAGTCAGCCGACTAATGTCGCACCCTGGTAATACCCACTTGTATTGAAGACTCAAACCCTGAACTGACTATATGATCGAACCGAAGATTCATTGTGAGTTTCAGAACGGGTCGATCGGCACAGCTTTGTCAGCACAGCGGAGGGCAACAACCACTCACTAGCTCCTTTAGACCTGCGGCGGTTTCCTTCAACTTCACGGAACAGGGTAGCGGCTTCCCAGCAATCACCCCGTCAAAGTTGGAAACTCATTGCTTTCATCCAGGAACCAGAAAAGCACCCAAACATAAGCTTTATTGGCATCCTTGGGAATGGGATTATTGGATATCCCAACCTTGCGGTGTTGTTCAGGTGCTTTTCTTGGTCCCTCCTCGTGCCCTAAACCCAAACTGTAGGGAATGCCAGTACGAATTATCTTAATCCGATTTCCAAGTTTTTGAGTTTCACTGTACTGTGCTCGAAGGCGCAGGGTAACACATGATGCGCAGCATTGCACATCGTTGAAGGCCGAGCAGAAAGCCCGGGCGTGTTTGGGCATCGTGCGTAGCTGAGAAATCTCACTTGTTGGTTTCGTTAGTGCTAGCATCAGACGCGATCCCGCAATCCCAAGCTTCAGGACATGTCTTATCCATGCAAGACATGGATGGAAAAAACCGCTGTCGGGTCTGAGGTCCAAAAGCTCCGAAAGCTGCAGGCACCAGCGACAGACGTCACATGTTTAGGAAAGTGTTCGTCGAATAGCGCCAGCGACGGCCTCCAATTTCAAGGTTGATGGCTCAGGCGTGCAAGGTCTGATGGGGGAATATGGTTTTGCGCGACCACAGTTGATGCCGGCGTTGTGCAGCAATCATGCTCACATTACAGGATCTTCTGGACAGCGAGATTGGATTCTTTGTCATCATTGTCCCAGCAACAGCTATTCCTGTAATCGTGCGCGCCCCGTTGCCCTTGCTTGCACGTAGCCAACAGGTGCTCTGTCGACAAGGGTCATGGGACATGTTGCACACCGTTAGACTGCATCCGGCGTGCTGTCGTGGTTATTGCCCGTGCAACTACTGGTAGTGCGAGGTGGGAATCAAAGGAGCAACCATTGCCGAGGCCACATCACACGGCACATGGCACGTGCCAGCTTTGAAATTCCTCTCGGCAGCTGCTGTAAGAAGTCCCGGTTCCGGAGGTGTTGGAAGGGACTGGAGTCGAGATCAGCATTGGCAAAGAGAATGCTTGCAACTCAGTAATCATGTCCTGGAGAACGACGAAGATGTCGATTGGCCTGACGGTCACGACTCACAACGCTCGCGACAACGGGTAGATCTCGGCAGCGATCCATTGAGAATCGACTCCTTCTTAAAACGAGCCTTGCTCTCCGTGGCCTGTCAGGTTAGACCAGAACTGCAAACTCAAGGTAGCTAGGAGACCTTTTCGGGCAAGTCGGCGCCGAGTCTAAAACTCTAAATCCTCATGTCATCGATGCAGCCAGGTCATGGGTATGCCAGATACACCCATAGGCCAGGATCACTGTTTCCGCTTTGCGTTGAGCCCCGCTGTGGCAGCGAGCAGCAGACAGCGCAGTGAAGTCACGACCAGGCTTGGAGGGGACTGCAGAGCAGGCACATGATTTGGCATCCAACTGTGCAAACTCGTGTCGGAACAGCGCAATGCACCACCGGACCGGCAGTGCATGCACTTGTGCAGGTGACAACCGCAGTGGCAAACATCCATAAGGTTGTGCAGGAGACGTTTTCGAAGCCAGCAAACTAGGGATTAATGGTGCTACCTCGCATGATGCCCCCGCTAGCCTGGAGGTCTCATCCAAGAATGTGCCTAAACTGAGACAGGACATGGCCGATCGTGGCAGGCTTCTGCCTGCAGACTTCAAGTACCGGCCGGAGAAGGCCAGAGCAAAGGTCAGCTGCAGGCTGCACTGATGCAATGAGTTATGTTGCATTCCTTCTGGGGCACATGTGCCTAGGCTAGCTCTTGCTTGCTAGGCAGCTGCTCAGCTGGCTGCGGGTGCTGGGGCGCACTTGCCCGAAGTCACGCTGCCGCACCGTCCTCTGCACGTTTACTGCCTGGCGCAAACGATGGCCATCACCTTTCCCTTGTCAGAGCTTGGCTAGTCTTGCTTGCCTTTAACTACCCAAGCACATTGTCGGATGCCCGGGCTGCCAGCAAGGCCCATCGACCACAATCTCTTCTATGGTATGGACCCAACGCAGAACTTCCGCACGAAGGATGGGAAGACTTACCGCAATTAACAAGCTGCGCTGTCTGCAGCTGCAATCTTTGCTCCAGGCTAAGATCGTCGTTGACACAGGGCTGGCAGGACCGTGTCGGATGATTTTCTTGTCGATTCCTGGTACATGTCTGTTGCATCCCATCGCAGCCAGTGATGCTTTGTTTGCCCATTGCTGCAGAGGTTGAGCACTGGCTCTGAAAGCCGGTGTATGCCGCCATGGAGACAGGTAGTGGTATTGAGATCAAGAAGGAAGACGGAGTGTACCGAACACCGCTCCTGAAGAATCGTATTCCGGAGCCGGAAAATCAGGACTGCGCGGCCAACAGCTCCAATGCCCTTTCTCCCGCTCATTGGGATGGGCGTCTGGTCTGCCGCCTTGCTGTTGACATAGGCTCGCGATCGCTGGGCCTGCCCTGTGACTCGTAGTGCCTTCTACTGAGATCAGTCTGTTCAAGTCCTCTTCTGCCTGTATGGCTGACCCTGACAAGGTGGAACGTTCACTGATGCAGTGCTGGAAGACGGTGAAGAGATTACTCAGCGATATCCGGTCAAGGTGCTGACAACTTCTCAACGCCCCGCAAAGGGCTTTGTGGATGCTGCGCTCCGTGCTGTGAAGGCTGGACAGCGTTCGCCACAGCAAGTTCGATTGGTTCTTCATGGCACCACACTGGCAACAAATGCCGTGCTGGAGAGAAGAGGTGCCACGGCCGCTGTCATCACCACGAAGGGCTTTAGGGATACCCTGGACATCGGAAGGAGTGGGCGCTACGATCGATACAAGCTTAACGCCAGAATCGCGGAACCACTGATACCTCGCTCACTGTGCTTTGAAGTATCCCAGCGGCATGCTGCTGATGGCACAGAGCTTGAAGCCTTGAACGAAGCTGAACTGGAAGCACTTGCGCCGCAACTCCAAGCTCTTGGTGTCCAAAGCATTGCTGTATGCTTCTTGCATAGCTACATGAACAATACACACGAGGAAAGGGCAGTGGCTGTCTTGAGACCGTTGCTGCCAGATGTGTGGTTTTGCACCTCTAGTGCAGTCAGTCCTGAAATTCGTGAGTATGAGCGATTCAGCACTGCTGCAGCAAATGCGTACGTCCAGCCATTGATATCTCTCTACCTGAAGGAGGCCCAAGGCTTGCTGCTGGAATCTGGCTTTCTGTGCCCGTTGCTCGTAATGACCTCTGGCGGTGGACTGATGGATGCTGACACGGCGGCACTGTTTCCTGTTCGCCTCATTGAATCCGGGCCTGCTGGTGGTGCTGTTTTGGCAGAGCAGGTGGCCAGAGAGGCCAAGGCGCAAGAAGTGCTATCACTGGACATGGGAGGCACCACAGCCAAGCTCTGTGCTATCTCTAGAGGAAGAGCCGCCGTGACCCGCGCATTCGAGGTCGACCGAGCCCGGCTTTTCATGAAACACTCCGGGCTACCCTTGCAAATTCCATGCATTGATCTTGTCGAAATCAGTGGAGGTGGCGGCAGCATCGCTTCCCGAGACGCTGTGGCTATGAGAGTTGGTCCACAGTCAGCGGGGTCCAATCCAGGCCCTGCTTGCTACAATCGCGGCGGAGACCTCCCGACTGTGACTCGTCTGCAAGCGCGTTGTGTAGGGGCAGCTTCCGCAGCGGTTACTGCCACCACGGACAAGCATGCATGCCCACGAAACAGTCGATCCTACTTGTGCAGAACTGCCCACTACCCTGACCCAAGCCACATGAACAGGTTGAAGTTGGTGGGGCTACTAGTAGATAGATCACACCTCACTGCCCGCCGGTCTACAGTTGTAGAGCGAGGTTACGGATGCCGACCTCGTTCTTGGGTATTTGACGGCAGGTTCGCTTGCAGGTGGCGAGCTTGACCTGAAGCTCGAGGCAGCAGAAGCCGCTTTGCAGAGTCTGGCGAAAGATGAGCCAACTGAGAGGCTGGCTCAATTTGTGTTTGAGGCCGTAGAGGATTCTTTGGCCACGGCTGCCCGTGCGCATGCTGCAGAACACGGTCTTGAGCTGCACAGACATGTGCTTGTCGCTTATGGTGGAGCCTCTCCTCTCCGGGCTGCAAGACTTGCTGAAAAGCTGCGGATCAGAACCGTGTTGATCCCCCCGGATGCCAGCGTAGGCAGCGCAATCGGCTTTTTCTCTGCTCCTCTTGCGTTTGAGGCACTCGAGAGTTGCGCGATGAAGCTCTGTGCCTTTGACCACTCCAAAGTAAATGCAATTTTTCGTCAGCTTTGGCACAGAACAGTGTCAGTAGTTGCAGCTGGTGCTGCAAGGTGGAAGCCAGGACGGCCACCCAAAGAACTGCGTCGGGCCTACGCTCGCTATGTTGGGCAGGGCCATGAGGTCGCGATAAAGCTTCCCAATCAGGACATGCAGGCTCAGGACGCACAGGTCCTGCGCCAGGAGTTTGAGGCATCATACAAGCGCCTAGGATTTCTACCCCTGCCGGGTCGTGAGGTTGAAATCTGTTCGTTTGCATTGGAGGTGGTGGCCGATGCAGATCCGCTGGCTTGGCCAATTGAGAGGCTTAAGGAGAAGCGTAAGGAGGCTGATGCCTCCATGCTCCAGGAGCTGGACGTGGAGTCCCCCACAGCGACACCCAGTGGCAGCCGGGCGATGTATTGCAGCCAAACGTGCCAGTATCAGCTCGTGCCCACCTACTTTAGGAAAGAGCTTCAGGTCGGTGAGCGGATTCCTGGGCCGGCTATCATTCTGGAGTCCTACACGACGACAATCGTCACGGAGTCCTTCGACTGCTTTGTGTTGGCAAACAGGTTCCTTCAACTACAGAGTCGAGTAGACGGCCTGGCAGTATCTCACCGACTTCCCTCAGGGATGGAGCGAAGCGGCATTGAGCTTGAGCTAGCTTGGACGCGTCTTCTCTCAGTTCTGGAGGAGCAGGCGCATTTTGCAGTGCGTGGAGCCTTCTCGCCGCTCTTTCGAGAGTCATTTGCCGTGACCTGTGCTGTCTTTGACGCAAACAATCGGCTCCTGGCCCACAGTCAGACTTCTTCACCGAGTCTCCTCGGACTACTGATGCAAGTTCTAGGTGACAGGCGCCGTGAGCTTGAGCTGGGCGGGAGAGAGAGCTCGTGGGTCGAGCTTGGGCGAGGATGCCCTTCTACAATCGTCGCGATAATGCCATTCGCAGCGGAGGGATTCATTGCTTCTGCAGCCCATCTGGCAGGAGTGACACAAGACTTGGGAACGGCAGTCTCCACCCAAGAAGCCGATGCACTTGATGGGCAGATTTTGGAGCCCATGCTGGCACAGGAAGCCTCTGTTTTGCTCGCCGCCAATGGTTTGGGCAGCAAGCGCTTGCAGAACCTACTTCAAGAGTGGGAGACGAATTTACCGCAGCTGGGTGACTACATTGTGCAAGTCTCGCAGACGGCGGTTCTGAAGAATCTGAGTCGAGTGCATCAGGAGGACAAATTATCCTGCACTCGAGAAATTCTTATCCAAGATGCACCTGCGTCTGAGACGGTCACACAGCGAGTGGGGTTGACAGCTAGTGTGCATCCTTTGGCATCGGATATATTGGAGTGCATGCTGACGGCAGTGCAGACGGCCCCGACCACGGGAACTGTTACCACCAAGGGGTCTTCGGCAACTAGCTGTAGGGCTTTTGCACAGTTTGCATTTCTAAGCATTTTCGGGCAGGGCGTGCCAGCCAACCACGGGTCCTTGAGCGTTTTCAGAGTGAACATTGCACCCGGATGTTTGCTGGACATGCCGCGACAACAGCAGCATGCAGATGCATCTACACTGGCCTACTTCCTGCCAGACTTGATTTATGGATGTTTCAGAGTAGCACAAGAATGCATTTGCCCTCCTGCTGAAAGCTCTGCAAGCCTATGCTGCTTGGAATGGAGAGAACCAGGTCAGAGCCCAGGCATCCATATTGAGGCGGGTGGAACAGGTGCACACATAGATCAAGATGGTCTTAGTTCGACTATCTTTCCGAGCGGCTTCAAAACCACACCTGTAGAAGTGATGGAGCAGTCCGGAATTCTCTTCAAACGCAAGATGCTTATACAGGATTCTGGTGGTGCAGGATGCTTTCGTGGCGGCTTGGGGGTTCGTGTGGAGGTTTCTGGGCCTGGCTCGATGTCTTTCAGGTGTACGCAGGCACGTGCTGGTGATGGGCCCGCGGGAAGAGATGGTGGCCATTCAGGCACGGTGGTCTCCTGCAAGACAGGATCCGCAACCACAAAGAATACTTTCCTTGTCGAGACCTCTGGGGGTGGTGGTTTTGGTTCTGCTGCGAAGCGCCCTCGAACACATCTTCTTAACGACGTGCGTAATGAATACATCTCCTATGCTGCAGCTGCATCGGAATATGGCCTGAAAGGTGAGGACTTGCCTGAAGAAGCAGCGGACAAAAAAGAGACCCTGCAAACAGGTTAGGAGATGGAGCGACATTGAGCACTCCTGCGGAGTAAGGCATAAACACCTTGATACTAGTAGCACTTAGGAGCGCTCGATTTCCCGCCTCCGCCTGGCCCAGCTTCCTGCAGGATGGCTCATCGGCAAAGGCGGCCGGACAATCCGGGAGATGCAAGAGAACAGCGGCGCTTTTCTTCATGTCATACGCGAGGTGCCTTGTGCTGACTTGTGCTCACCCAACAGTTTGGCAATACTGTGGCACTATGGGGTTCTGATGATTAATTGCGGTATGTATACAGAAAGCGGATTGGCTTACTGAAGGCGGGAGGCAGGGTGCGCCCGCGGTTCCTCGGCTCCTTTGCTATCCACATTTTCGACTTAATGTGTGTTCTTTCCAGGTCCCACACCCGCCGCGTCCGCCGTGGGCAGGTACTGAATCAACCCAATACTTCGGTGCTTCGCACTCCCACCACAGTGCCGTGCTTGTTTTGGGGTGTTTTGGCTACAAATCGTGCTTCCATGTTGGCCTTCAAAAGCTCTGAAGTCCTAGCCGGGCCACACTATGGGACTCCTCATCTCGAAATCCCACCATTCCACGTTTGGCGAAAGTCGGCATCCTGCATCCGCCACAGCACCGTGCGCATGTCGGTGTTTGAGCGTCAACTTCTCGCCACATGTGGTTCGTGGATCCTGGGATACGCCTTCGGTTTGTCGGGCTTGTTTAAGTACCTCACTGTGTGCACGAACACACATGAGCACGACAAGTATGAGACTGAGATGAGAATACATGATACTGAGAGTCTGCTCTTGTGTTCTCACAGCTTGTGAGGATGAGCCTACTCCTTTGCTAAAGCCGGGGGATCGGCTCATCGAGGTTTGCGGCAGCTGACTCAGCGTGACTGCAGAACAGTTGGGTCCCTCCGCTGTCCTTGTGCAAAGGGCGCCTGGAGCGTAAGCTGGAGGGAATCCAGGCATTGACCCCAGCAGGGGACAATTCAGCTTGTCATCATGGGTGATGCTTGTTGATTGCAGGTTGTGTTGCGAACTGCAGACAGCATGCCTGGCAATGCGCCGAGAGAGACGCGCATCATTGTGCCTGAAGTTGGCGGCTCAGCCTCTGACCGCAAAATGAGTCATTGGCTATCAAGTCGGCACAGGTTCTTGCTGTGCCGCCAATCATGGATCAGGCCGGCTCAGGCCGCATGGCAAGCTTCGTGATTTGTCGCATGTCCGCCAGGTTGCTGCCGCATACAGCAGTTGCGTTGTTGAGAGGGAGCCTGGCCCTGCATGCGATGCGTGGAGCTCAGTTGACAACACTACCAGTAGTTATTTCGTCCATCCACCCACCTTGCACAAAGGGAGAAGCCATGCTGCTGATTGCTGGGCCCATCATCTCGCGTATCCAAGCGATACAGGCCACGGCGAAAGCAATGTTTGCTGTGGAGACCTGACCTTTTGTGCTGCCAGGACTTTATGTCCAAGACTGATCGTGCGCACATCGAGGGCATTGTTGTAGCAAAAAGCATTGATGGCGAGATTGTCGGCAGCATCCTCTGGCCTCGACCTTCTGAGACCTTGCACTGCTGAAGTGCTCTCCTGAGGCAAGGATGGTCGTGCAAGGCGAGAGATTCGAGAGGCCTTCCCTGCCGGGGATAGCCATTGAAGCACAAGCCCGTCACGTGTCAACCAGGGCCTGGGCTATGCTCCCATCAACCCTCCTCCACCGAGAGAGCCCAACCCATGGCTACTTCGGGACCCACAGCCGGCCGCCTACAAGAATGTACTCATGTCATGCGGACTCTTGCCAGCATGGAAGAACCACAGTGACTGAGGTCACGAAGCTGCCGACTCAGCATTCAATGAAAATCTTGACAGCTTCACACTCGGGCATATCTTCGAGGTGAGCCGGCGCAGCAGGTGCACTGACGTTTTGTAGGTTCAAGCCTGTCTGTTCCATGGCGTCTTGCACCTGGATGGTAACGAGGCTGACTCCAGAAGCGCGCAGCCATACACCGGGGCGGCGGAGCCCCTTCGAAGGAATGGAGATGTCAGGTGCCAATGCAAGACTTGGCGAGCAGAGATCTCTTGCGAAAGCTGACAGGCCCTCGGATCCATGGCAGGTTGAAGAATTGGAGGACAAGCGGGCGTCGGCCCGGACTGCCATGGCCAATGGGGAAATCGACGACCTCCCGATGCATCAGAACCACGATCGCGCAGAGGCTTTTGAACGGCTTGAACCGTCGGTGCTTCAGCAGCAGGGCCACGCCCAAGAATGTATGGACCGGGGGGGCTGTGCGGCATTTGCAAACACACATTCCCAGGTTCGGCTCGGGGAAATCTTTCGTTTAGGGGGGTCTGATGTACATTTCTGCTGGCTGTCTTTGAAGTCTGTCCGAAACCCATTCTGAGGCACTGTTGCTTCTTGAAGTTTGTGAAGTGATCTCGCTTCGGACTGCCTGCGGCCAGTTGGCCAGCAGCATATTGAAGTTGATGCCCGACATGCGCCCAGAAGCCTTGAACCCACGAGCCCTAAACCCAAAAACCCTGAACACAGAAACCCTGAACCAAGGAAACCCCAAACACGGAAACTCTAAACCCGTAAACCCTAAAAGCCCGGAACCCAGAAGCCTTGAACCCCAAAACCCCTAAATCCAGATACCCTAAACCCAGAAACCCCCCGAGCCAAGAAGAGGCCCTACATCCCGAAGCCCTAAACCCAGAAAGCAGCTTCACAAACGTAGGCTAGGCCGAGGCCTAAATAGTAATAAGTACCACTACTATTTTGGGGCTTCCTTATAGTTATAGTATAATAGGCCGCAAACCCTACTCTATTTGTCTCAGGCCCAGGCCGGGGAGGAGTCCAAGGGCTTCGTTCCTCTGCCAGAGAGGAGAGCGGGAGATGAAGGCCCGCGGGGCGGAAGTCAAAGAAGGCTCTGGGAAGCCTTTACAGTGTAGTATAATATAGTATAAGATAGGCTAGTAGAGTATAATATAGTAGAATAGTGTATAATATAGAAATAAAATAGAATATAGCACAGTATAATATACTATAATATAGCATAATGCTATATAACATAATATAATATAGATATAGTACAATATAATATAGTATATTACATTACATTATATTATATTATATTGTATTATATTTATAATAGAATAGAATAGAACATAATATATAGTTCCGGGCTTTTGCACACCGTCACACACACGTGGCACCCTGTGAGGCGGGCAGAACCATGACAGACTGGGCAGAGGCTTCGATATTGACGAGGCGGGCATGGCGAACCTAATTCAGAAGACGGCAGCAGACGGTGCCCGCTGGGTGACCTGCAGGCCGTGAAAGTCGCACTGACGTCTGCTGTTGAAGCCGCACCACAGGTGGAGGCAAGGATGCAGGGAGGAGTCGTGCCTGGAATTCGAACCCCTTTGCAGTCAGGCCTTGCTCCAAAGTAGCTCATCCACAGGAGTGGCCCTCGTCAGACGGGGAACAGAAGCGCAAGCCTCCGGCGACGTGCCTGAGACTGAGGCCACTTGCGGGGCACACTTTCCGTCCTCCTGGCATCTGACGTCCTTTTCTCCACGTCCAGATCTTGGCCTTCCTGCAAACGTGCCAGTGTCGACAGTCTGGGTGATGGTTTTGCTTGAAAGACTGCCGAGTTTTTACGACTACAGTAGGATATTCGGTGACTGAGGCTTGTTCCCGATGGTCACATGCAGGATCTGGCACAGAAATGCCAGGCTCAGCGAAATATCATTCCACATGCGTCCACGCAGTCTCACTGTCACTGGGGGCGATATTCGCTTTCGACTGCAAGCTTACAGAGCCGACGTCATAATACCTCATGACTGTCTCGGCTGTCCCTGAGAGGTTCACATTGACATTATCTCGGATGCCTCCATCCCCTCGTCGATGCGACAGGTGGTGCTATCCCCAAAAAGTTTTCTGTGTTGCTGCTCTTGTTGTCGCAAGTCCCAAGAAAAGATGAGGTCTTGACCGGATCTTTGGCCAACAACGCTGCGGCTGCCTACTGGCTACAGGCGAGAACAGTAAGCAGATTCAAAGAGAGCCACCGCCAAATGCAAGAGCGGAGTTCTCAAGAAAAGTGCATTACTCTCCCCTGCGACTTTAGGTCGGCACTGCTCGCCACCTGGTCTCGACCCGGAGCTTTGCCAAGTGAAAAGAGCGCGTTGCCGTGACATGCAAGGGGCTGAGGCCTGCGATGACTGTGACATTGCTCTGATCCGGCAGGTCGAGCCGAAGCAGTGGAAGGAGAGCCATGAAGGCAGCAGAGTCTGCTGCCAGTGCCTGGAGCTTCGACGTGAAGCTTCTCACAGGAATGCCTGCGCGCCCCGTGCATGCACCAAACACTTCACACACCCACAGCATGCATCTCAGTGCGGTGTGCAGCTTGTGAGAACTGGGCTCACCGTGTTCGAAAGCCCCGAGCTTGTTTGTGTTGTATTGCTTGTGCCTTCTTCCCTACTTGGGTGTTACAATGCAGCGGCCAATCAGACAGGTACGTTCGCATCCTTTTCCTTGTTCTGATGCAGGCGCGCTACCCCGGCCGAAGGCCAAACTGCATCTTGCTGGGCGGCCGTGCCCTGGCTTATCGCCAGCACAGTCTTTGCCATTGCCCACGCACCCCGTGTCTGATGTTAAGCCTCATGTCGTGTCAATTGCCTCTGGAGTTGTTGACTGCCGATCCGGAGACGGTTCTCTGAGATCCTTGGAAGACGCAGAGCGGCGTCGTCTCGCGTGCATCTGGCTAGGCTTCGCCAAGGCAGTTGCGTGCGACAGCAATCTAAGGGAGTCCCTAGAATCGGCAACTGACGCGGCCCTACTCCCCCTGTTTCTAGATAGAGCACCCGCTACGCTTAAGCGCCATCTAGGTGGCTGGCGGCTTTGGATTGGGTTTTGTGCATCCAAGGGTTGGCGCACGGGCTCGCCTTCCCTTTCCCAGGTTCTTGATTTTACAGTTAGCTTGATTGAGGGCTGCAAATCCAACCGTGGGCGCGGCCGTCGGCGCTCGGCGGTGTCGTGTCTCAGTGGCATGTCATTTGCCGCCTACAAGTTCCAGTTGAAGGTTTTGTTAGATAGGCTTTCGTCGCCATTGATCCGGGCCTGGAAGGACCATGGCAAGTGGACGCTACCGGCTGTAAAAGAAGCTGTTCCCTTCTCGCTGCAGCTGGTGCTGTTTTGAGCAGGCGTGTGTGTCTTGCAATGTTGATCCCCACGACCAGCTGCTCCTGGCGTCCTTCCTACTGATGTGTTGGGGTGGACTTCGCTTCTCTGACGCGCAACGTCTTGATCTGCGCTCGGTGGTTTGTTCTGAAGATTCTATTAGAGGGCGATGCTGGCGAACAAAATCCAGCCCCCGTGGGATGTGCTGGGGATTTCTTCGCCGTGGCTGCTTGGCACGTGACTGGGGAGGTGTCTTCTTCAAGCTTATCGCCGATGTTCGAGGCAAGTACCCGAGACGGGACTTTCTTCTCGCAGCCAAGGGACGTCCCATGACTTACACTCAATGCCTGGCACATTTGCGTCGGTGTCTTGTTGTGCTCGGCGGCCTGGACCAGTCTTCGGCTGCTGTGTGTACCTTGCACAGCCTCAAAACCACCATTCTCTGCTGGGGTCTGCAGCTTAACTTGCCTGAGACGGACCGAGGTGCGCAGGGTCACCACCGCTGCCCGGCACCTGGAGTCAGCAAGTGTGTCCCGCGCTACGGCAGGGACGACATTGAGCCGCAGCTTCGCTGTCAGCGGCAGGTCCTCGACGCCGTTGACAGGCGGTGGGTTCCCAATGTCCCCGTGGACAGGGGTATTTCTGCAGCTTGAGACAACTTGTTCCGCGCCTGCAACTCCCGTGGTTCCGCCTCCCGTGACTCAGGAGGCTCTTTCACCCGTTGTTGCTGCAAACCTGCGTGATTCCCTTGAGGTCGAGTCAGATGCCCCCACCGAGCCGGAAAGTGAGTCCGATGCTGAATCTACGTTCTCTAGTGACGCGAGTGCTATAGAATCGGTGGCGTCCACAGACTCTCTGGAGGGTGCTGGCGCCAGTGAGATCAGCTTTTCTGGGCCCTGGCTGCTGAACATCCGAGCATTTTTCACAAGGCCATTCGCAGTGTGAAGGAGGACTCCCACATGCTTGCGTGCCGTCCGCAGACGGGGCTGCACGATGGTTATGAGCTCCGGAGGCGCAATCCCCGCTTTGAGGGGTTCTGCGCATGTCGCCACAGCGGTTGCTGCGTTAGTCTGCAGTGAGAAAGCTCAATAGCTTCAGTTGGAGCTGCTGATCGGCTCGTGGTGCATCGCGCTCGACGGCAGATGCTTATGTTCCTTTTCAGGCGGGGAATTTTCCTTTCTTCTTATCGTTTATGCCGTGTGTGCTTTTCATGCGGGCTTAATAACTCTCTTTCTTTAAGTCTCGTGAATTTTGTACATCCGGATTGATGGATGTCCGACATGCGAGCGCATGTCGTTTGTGTCGCATGTTTGGATGCGTGTTGATATCAGCTGCGGCTTGATCACGTCGGCGTGTGCTTGATGTGTGTTTTTTTCAGGCGGGAAAATTCCTCTCTTTATTATGTTTATTCCGGCTTTTCAGGCGGGCTTAATACTCATCTTTAAGTCCTGCGAAGTTTAGTACATCCGGATTGATGGATGTCCGACACGCGTGTGCGTGTCGTCCACAGTTGTGCCGTGTGCACAAAGTTCTCCCGGTTTGATGGGAGTTATCATGCGTGTGCATGATGTCGCTTGTGTCCGTCGTGACACGTGCTCGGGCTGCAATTTGTGCGAGATCGCAAGCTTTGTCTGCAGTTTCGTTGGTGCATTGTTGCTGCGCTTTCTTCTCTGTGCTTGTCACAACACCATGGCTGTGCCAGTGCCGTTGCTGCCCATTTGCAAGGAAGTGGGCCTACCAGATGTGATCGCGAAATCCCTGCATAACATGGGGTACGATTCGCCGGAGACCTTCCACAGCAGTTTTGTGGACGCTGCTGCGCTAGAGTCCTGGCTGGGTAGAGCTCGGCCCAAGCTCGGTGAAGCTGTCGCTGATGTTGACGATGAGCACTGGAGCACTCACCCCATGGCCGGCAAGCTCCGTCGCTTGTGGAGTCGGTGTGGCCCGTGTTTGCCGACTGCAGTTGCGTCCAAACCTCCGTGCAGCGCCCTGGCCCTGTTCGGGGAGTCCGCTCTGCCGCAATCTTCCCAGCGCTTGGATGCTGGAGATCGTGAAAGACTGCTGAAGGATTTTGAGAAGCGGTTCCCAGGACTTGCTTTGTGTGCTAGCACCCTGCCTTCTCTGGGCCTGCTCCAGTGTGTGCAGTCCCAGTGCAAGTCCAAAGCTTGGACTTGGATACCATGGAAGCGCATCCTTTCTGAAGAGGCGGCCTTGGATGTCCAATCCCGCAGAGCGACACGCAAGCGCAACATGGCCGAAATCGTCGCGGAGGCAGCAGGCTTATGCAGCGACGAGTGGGACCTCGATCTCTCAGCCTCCCCTTACAAAGTGCAAACGCTTTTGACCGTACGCGCACACGCATATGCGATGTCAGAGGCCGGGCATCTGCACTCATGGATGTCGTACGTCAACAAATTCAGGATCCACTATACTCGCCGGCCCGGGCTTGGTTTGCGTCCCCCCTCGCCCGCAGAGGCAGAAGAAGCTGATAAGGAAGTGCTTGGAGAGATTTTCCGCATGGTCTTCCATGACGACGTCTCCATCGACGATGCGTTACAATCTGTGGTCCGTGAAGACCTGTTGCGTGTGAAGCTCATGCCGCAGCCCAAGCCGCGAAAGGCGCCGCCTCCGCCCTCACTGCCTTCCGGCCCGCGCCCGTCGGGCGCCGGCGGCAAGCGCACCAAAGGCGGTAAGGAGGCCCCCGACCCTCGCAAGCGCTACAAGAAAGGCAATTGCTGGGGCTTCCAGGAGGGTTCGTGTCCAAAGTCTGCAAAGGATTGCAAGTTCTGGCATTGCTGTGATAAGTGTGGGTCGCCCGACCACGGGGCGGCGGATTGCAAAGCCTGAGTTGCTCCAGGCTCTCGCGGTGACCATGGTAGCCACTTGATTGGTGCACCTGCGGTCAATGCGGCCGTGTTGTGCGACCCTGAACCGCTACCTGAGTGCGATCCGCGTCTGCCTGATAACTATACACCTGATGCCAGTGTCGGCTCCACTTTTTTATGTGTTGACACCTCTATGTAGTCCCAGCGTGCCCAGTGCAGTGAATCACCACGTGCCGATTCCAGATGGCGGAGGCTTAAGCTCCACAGCTGATTGGTCCGTCCCCCGTGAGGATTCGGACTTGCTGGGTGCACTGCGTGAGAAATTCAAGACTTTGTGTCGCGAGTGGAATGTCGTGCAGCGCCTAATCAAGCACTGCCGAGATGGATCCTCTGACCCCCTGTTCACCGACAGTGAGTCTACCGCTTTGAAAGCGGAACTTGCGGCCTTCCTGCGCAGCAAGTCCCTACCTGGTTCCTTACATGTTGAACCCTTTCAGCCATTTTTGCTAGATTGCTGGGAGGGTCTGTGTCGCCTAACTGGTGACCCGGATGGTTGCTTGCCCGGGCTGCTCCGCAGCGGTGTTCCGACCGGTGTACTCGAGCCGATTGAGGCCTCAGGCGTGTGGCAGCCTCTGTCTGATCCTGCTCCGCCTGATGAAGATCTGTCGGATCTGTCTATTCACACTTCCCCGTGGCAGAGCGGGTTAGATGATGAAGACCTGACATTGTCCTTGATGATGAAGGATGTGGAGGCAGGCTTTGCTTTTGAGTTGCCAGGTGGAGAAGCAGCCGCAAGGCAGCGTTGGGGCAACAACGTTGCAGCAGGGAAACTTGGGATATCACACCCTCCTGGCAAGAAGCCACGCCTTACCGGAGACGGTACCGTTTCCGGTGCCAACCCCGCATGTAGGATCCTCGAAAAAGTTAGGCTCCCGACCCTGGAGAGTATTCAGCGATTCCTCAGCTCCTCTGCAGTGGGACAGCGTTGGGCTGCGTTCTCATTTGATGTCCGTGGGGCGCACAAGCTGGTACGGGTGCGGGAGTCCGAACAAGGCTTGTCGTGCTTTGTTGTGAAGGGCAGGTGGTTTGTGTACCGTAGTTGCTATTTCGGTTGTTCTTGGGCCGCTTACTGGTTTAGTCGGGTGGGTGCCTTTGTGGTGCGGCAGACCCATCGACTGCTGTGGGTCCGGCACGGCCTCTTCCTGTATGTTGACGATGGGCTGTCTCTTTTCCCGCTCGAGGCCGCTCCACTTCTGTCAGCGTTGTGCGTAATGTTCCTAGTGTCCTTGGGGATTCCCCTGAGTTGGGAAAAGCTTCAGTTAGGCGAGGACCTTTCTTGGATTGGCTGGAGTCTGAGATTGAGTGTTCGCCAGTGCATGCCTTCCCCGCGACAAACAGAGCAAAATCC